GTGGCAAAATCTGAGTAATTTTTTAAAAGCTAACTCAGGCTGCTGGGTGGAAATTGGATTTTGGGGGGGTTGGGGGGGGGCGGGGACTAAGGGTGGGAAGAGGGAGACCAGAGAGGAGACTGGAATGAATTAGTGAATGCATAGATGGGTGGATGGATAAAGTGGACATCTCTCAAGGCAGAAGAGGATCCAAATCCCAAGAGAGTAAATAATTTGTACTTTGGGGGCTCCCGGGAGGATATCGGTCCAGGTGGGGCAACAGTCGGGCGGCTCTATGCAGATCTTGCCTTCTGAATTAGGCCTTGAAGATCAGTGACGTTAATATTCCAACAATAATAACAGCATTTACCATTTACTGAACTCTCTGATGTTCCAAGAATGTGTGACTGTCAAAACAGTCCTAATTTACAACTGAGGAAACAGAGGCTCACAGAGGGAAGCAATTTTCCCGTGGCCTCACAGTTGATGAACCCAAGAGCAAGGATTGAACCACATCTGTCAGACTCCAAAGGCTTTCCCCTGTCCTGCTGCCCAGATGGGGCAAGATGGACCTTTGAGGGAATGGACCAGGCATTCCAGGAACAGGACACAGCACAAGCAAAGGCCTGGGAGCTGGAAAGAGGTGAGAGCGGGACAGAAAGGCCGTCAGCAGTCTGATGGGAGTGCTGAGCGGCACTGAGCACAGGGCCATGCCGGCCCTGGGCTCCAAGGTGTGTCAGGCCAACAGAGAGGAGTCGTGCATGGTGACTCCAGCGAGTGTATCAGAGCCAAGAGGCAGGAAGCAGGAGCTAAGGCAGGCCCAGGCCCTGGCACTGGACGCAGGCCTCCCACAGAGGGGCATTGTTCACAGGCAGCAGGCATGACCAGCCGAGGAGCACAAGAGGCAGCACTTGGCTCTCTGGAGACGCGCCCAAGGGACTGGCAAGACCCCTCCAGGAGGCCTCCCTTACTCCCAAAACGTCTCGTCTTTGGGTGTTTGGCACATTTGCACACACAGCAGGATAGCAAATGCTCTTGCCTTTTCCCCCTTGACAACTCCAGGAGGGGGAGAGGGGCCAGGGCCAGGCCACCCACACACTGAGGGGCCTCGGGGCATTCACTGCCGCTCTCTTGTCCCCCTGCAAGATTCAGCAATGGCCCTCTCAGCTCTGAGCCACAAGCCACAAATCGAAGCAGGGCAGCAAGGATGCCTCCCCAGATCACGTCAAAAGGCCATGTTCACATCCCACCCTCCCGACACTGGCCTGGAGTCATTTGGGGAAAGGACAGTGGGTGGAAAGAACTTGTGGTCTGGACTAGGTAGACTGGACTCCAGTCCCAGCTCTGGCAGCCCTGGCCGTGGGACCTGGAGCAAGTCACCCACCTCCCTGAGCCTCAGGTGCCCTTGGTGAGCCCGGGGCTGCCGACACCTGTCTGAGTGCCCGCAGGTTAAATGAGGCAAGGTTTGTACCCAGGCGGTGGGTGATAGGGGTCCTGTGGGACCATGGCTTTGTTCCCTCGGTTCGCAGGCATGCCTCATTACTCATTTGTTCCACACATGTTCGCGGAGATTCCTGAAGGCGGACGCAAGGCACAGTGGGTATAATCATTGCCCAGTGAATCACTGAAAGTACTTGCTAAGTGCTACGTGAGCATGCACCTCAGTTCACGCTCTCAGCAGCCTGTGTGGGAGGTGCTACTATATCATCCCCACCTTATCGATGAGGACACTGAGGCCCAGAGAGGTGAAGTACTTTCCCCAGGGTCACACAGCAAAGAAAGGCCCATCCTATTACAAGCAGTGATAACATAGCAACAACCACTCACATTTATTGAGCACGTACTCTGTGCCAGGACCTATGCTCTGAGCCATGTCCACTGTGCTCCTCTCAGCATACTAGTATGTGGGTGCTACTATTGTTCCCATTTCACAGATGAAAAGCTGAGACTTGGAGAAGTTAGGGGATGTCCCCCAAGTCACATATCATGGAAATGGCGGAGCTAGGACTCGGACCCAGACTGTCCTCAGGACCTTTTATATCTGCCAAGCTGTAGAGACATCCCCAGATAGGTTTTGAAGTCAGAGTTCTGGCTGAATCCTGGCTCTGCCATTTGCTGACTGTGTGAGGCAGGTTCCTCCGTGGTGACGTTGTGATAATGGTACTGATCCTGGTGGGGACGAGGCTCCATTGACACGACCAATGTAAAGCCTAGGGTGGCACCTGCCATGTTGTAGGTGCTTAATACATCGTCACTGCTACCGTTCTCATCATTGTCCCCGTGGGAGTGACTGTCCAGAAGGCAGGGAGCCCCTTTCACAGGCCACACTGTGCCTGATTCAGTTCCTCTGCCAGGTGCCCCAGCGCCCCGCCCACCCCTCATGGCGGCCCAGACCCTCCTCTCTCCAAATCCTGGGAAGCTGGAGTCCCAAGGCTGCCTCCAGGCAGGGATGTGGTTCACCAGCAGCTACAAATATTTACCTTGGAGACCTCAGCCCAGCCCAAGGTCTCAGCCCAAATGCAAAGGGTGACTTCCCAGACTGGGGTGTGTAAGATATAAGGTTAGACTTCCAGACCCAGTGTCCGAGGAGAGAAGACTGAGGACTCCGGCGTGTCCAGGTAAAGGTGTAGGAAACGGCCTGAAAGCCTAGGGCACCAGAAAGGTTCTAAGCTGGAGACACCTGTTGCAGTCAGGTCAAGACCAGGAGGGAGGTCTGTCCTGGAGGTAAGCTCCCTTAGTCCACTAGGACCCTCCTAGTAGAGGGTAGAGGCTCTCAGCTCTCAGCTCCCTTGCCCAGAAGACCAAAGAGCAGTGACGAAGGAATTGGACTGGCTGAGTCTTTCCTTGGCCTGATCCCAATGACATAAACCCACCCTGCACACACCAATTATTCTGTGCCCAGCTCTATGCTGGAGTGATTCTGGGGACAAAGAGAAGTATCAGACTAACCGGGCCCTCAAGTAATTCCCAACATGGGCCAGTGTGATACATGCTGTGCTCAAGGAAAGACCAGGGACATTGTGGTAAAGAGCAGTCAAGAAAGGCTTCCTGGAAGAGGTGGCATGTCACTTGAGAAGCCAAGCAGAAGTTGGCTGGACAAAGGAAGAGAGAAAGGCATCCCATTATAAAGGGAACTGCATAAGCAAAGGCCAGGAGGTGAGGCATGATGTGGCGGGTGTGGGTATGGTGCTTGGATCTGGGGAGGAGACCCTTTTCCACAGGAGGGGATGCTACCATACTATTGGCTCCCTGAGCACTCTGATCAGAGGACAGGGTGGTGTGCAAAGATAATGAAGGGAAATAGGGTCAGGGTGTTTGAAAGAAAAAGATTATGGAGTGGGGTGGGGGCTTCCTGGGCAGAAAAGCAGGGTGCTGGGCACCACCTCTCTTACCTTCTGGCTTTGATTCCGAGGTGGTTCCTTCTGACCCCAGTATTAGTTATACTACCATCATCATAAAAACAGCCAATACTCATGAACACTTGTGGCTCATTCAATCTTCCCAACAACGCTGTGATACAAGTACTATAATTACCCCTTATTTTTACAGATGGAAAACTGAGGCTCAGAGAGGGTAAGTCATTTGCCCAAGATCACACAGCAAGTGGTAGCAGCAGGCCTCCAGCTCGGGTCTATCTGGCCCTGAGGCCCATGATATTTCTCCTCCACTCTCAGTCTTGATGGCCCAGACCTGCTCGGTTGGGCTGGCTCAGATTCCCCGTTTCCCCAAGGCTCCCGAGGCCATTCATTCATTCAGCAACCATTTATTTATCAGACACCCACAGGTGTTTGGGACACAATGCCAGGTGCTTGGGACACAATGGGGAGCAGGTAGACCCAACACTCCTCCCAGAGCTCACAGCCCAGTCTGGGAGACAGATGTTGAACCATTACAGCAAGTGTCTCGGAGAGCTCATGTTGCCCTAGCCGAGAGACACATGCCATCCAGATGCCATGCTTGTCTTTGGCAGCAAGAAACCCACATGCTGAGCCGAGCAAGGGCTTGGATCTCCAGGTCAGCATCTTCCCTCCCTCCAAGCAGGAGGCAGAGGTTTGCCTGGGGGCTTGGAGACTGAGCCAGGGTGCAGGCTGGAGGGCTCAGGACCAGCTTCCAGGGGCTGATGCTCTGCCCATGGAGGGCACAGAGCAGCCAAGGAGCAGCCAAGTCCCTCTGCCAGGAGGCACCCACGGGCCTCTTCCTCCCTCTCTCTGCCCTTCTCTCCCTGGGTTCAAGCAGCCGCCAATCCCTTCTCAGTCCCCTTCATATCAATCAAGCAAATTTCCCGCCCACTTTGCGTCGCCCTCCTTTCTCCAAACTTCCTGTCCTGGGCACACAGCAGCCCCCAAGGCAGCATTTCTCCAAGCATAGTCCAGGGCCTCTGACTGCAGGAAGGGAAAAACTTTACAGAGAAAGGGAAATGTGCGCAGAGTTGAAAGGATGAATAAGAGTTCAGCAGGCAGATAAGGAAGGGGAAACACACTACCGGAAGCAGGAAGAGTTAGAACAAAGGCACAGAAACAGGAGAGAATGGGGTTATATTCTGGGAACTTCGAGCAGTTTGGAATGACTGGAACTTTATAGAGCAAGAGGGGACTAAGCAGGAGGTGAAGCTGGCCAAGGTTGGATTGCAGAGGGTTTTAAGTGCCAGACTCTATGAAGGCAGGTACTATTTCATTAGGCCCATTTGCTAGATGAGAAAACTGAGGCAGAGAGGCTAAACTGATTATCTAAGGCCACACAACTAGCACCTAGTGGCAGAGGCAGGACACAGACCCAAAAGTTGGGCTGCAGAGCCCACACTCTTAACCACTTCACTAAACAGCCTCTTCTGGACTTTATGCCCCAAGTCACCAGGCATGGTGGGCCTGTCCTTGACCTCTCTGCCCGGCTAACAGGGCCTTCTGTGCTCACCCCAGGTTCCTTCACCTATCACGCGCTGCTCACCGATCCCCAGAAAGATGGCTGGCCCATTAACCTTCACCCTCCTCTGTGGTTTGCTGGCAGTGACTTTGGCTGAAACCACCCTCCGCCCCCCTGCGGTTCTTAGCCTCGGCCGTGAAGTCATCAAAGAGAGTAAGTCTCCGCTGCCCAAGCCTCACCGCCATAAGGCAAGAGGGCAGGTGGAGTGGCCCTCTGAAGGAGGGAGGGAGTCCCCCATCACTGGGGGTGTGCAAGGCACAGCTGCGATCCCAGATCCAGGGTGAGACTCGAGAGGATGAGTTATAAAGATTAGGAGTGTCTATGATCTCAAGAGTCCACGATTCCAAGATCTTCCCTTAAATTCCATGATTCCACTGGGCCCCTTCCTTCTTTACGTCCCTCCAGAGACTCCATGGACAAGCCTCCACATTTTGCCAGCTGGCAGAGGAGGAATATTTATGGGGCCCACCTCCATCGTCACGGAGCAGACAAAAAGACGGCTTTGTTGCCAAGAGGCAGTAACACACAGGGACTCTGGGACACAGTGGGGGACACACACCTGGGTCATCCTGCCTGCGGGCTGAGGGAGCTGGGGTATTTATACCACGATTCCCATCAGTCATGGGCTGAGGGCTGCTTCTGGAGCTGCCTCTGGAGCAGCTGGAACTTCTGACCTGCTCTTCATACAAGCCAAATGGGCTCTGGCCGCGGGGGGAAAGTCCAGCAGGGACCAGAACCCAGGACTCCCGGCTTCTCCTATCTCAGCTCGGCACCTGAGGCTCTTTGGACAACAGGCCCATATGATGTGGGTGCCAGAGAATTGTTAGCAAGTGTGTTTTGGCAGCAAAACCAGCCCCAACACGGTCTTGTGGGTTCCCTGCCTCTTGGCTCCAGAGCTTGCTGCCGGCTGGCGGGAGGGATGCAGGTCCATATGCCTGTATCCTGGCCAGTGTTCCCGCAGAGGCTGGCAATGCTCGGAGCGTGAATGGTCCCACCTATGCCCCTACCTTCGTCTTTATGTGAAAACGGCTCATCTAGACCATCATCCTCAAGGCCACGTCTCCACAGCAGAAGGTCATCCATCCCCTTGCCCTTACGTCCGGGTCCAGGTAGCCCTGAGCGATGCCCTCTCCCAGCCTGAAGCCACTGCCATGCCGTCCGTCTTGCCCCTCCTGCTGGACCCTGATCTCTAGGATCTGCCTCCAGGGCTGACACAGGAGCTGAAGGATCACAACGCCGTCAACATCCTCCAGCAGCTGCCACTGCTCAGCACCATACGGGAGAAGCCAGCCGGGGGCATCCCCATACTCGGCAACCTGGTGAACTCCATCCTGAACCATATCATCTGGTGAGTGGAGCGGGACAGACCTAGGTGCTAGCTCATTCCCCACACCTCCTTCAGAAGCTCCCAGAGGAGTTAACGATGACCATAAGAGAGTGACACAGGTACCCTAACAGGGTGACCCCAGAGGAAGGTCCCCTGGGGTAGGAGAGTGAAGGGATAGAGTGACACTTCTCAGTGGAGGGAACAGGTGAGCCAATGACTCCGTGCTCACCAGAAGACAAGAAGAAAATGGCATTCCAGGCAGTGGGACCAGCCTGGGCAAAGGCACAGACGGGTGAGAGTCCGTCAGAAGAGCTGGCACTCAAGCCCCCAAGGTGAGGACGGAGGTCAGCGGGGCCACGTCACAAAGAGTCTTCCAAGTCAGCCCAAGGAACTGGGATTAGTCTCCAACATGGGGGAATCATGGAAGCATTTTGAGCAGTGGTGACAGGGAGGGAGGGGGCCAGGCCATGCTGGCGAGGAGTCAGGGGACAGGATTTAGGTCCAGCTGCTGGGCAGAAACCCCTGGCTGGCCACCAGGGGAGACAGGAAAGATGCAGTGGGCAGGTTTGGGGATGATACTCAGCTGAGCATAAGGTATGAATCTCATGGGTCCCCTGTCCCACGTAGGCTGAAAGTCACCTCAGCCAACATCCTCCAACTGCTGGTGCAACCCTCAGATGCAGGCCAAGGGCTGGCGGTCAAGATCCCCCTGGACATGGTGGCTGGACTCAACACGTGAGTGTCTCCTCAGTCAGACACAGCAGGCCTGACAGGTTCATTTACACATAGCCCCTTTTCTCCAGGCAGGTATCTGGTAAAGAGAGTCCCAAGCAGAGAGAAGAGCAAGTGCAAAGATCCTGAGGCACCTGCTTTGTCCAAATAATGGCAAAGAGAGTGGAGAGAGGCGGGGAGAATGGTGGGAGGTGAGGGCTTTGTGGCGCCTTGTGGGCCAAGGTGAAGACTTGGCTTTTACTGAGTGAAATGGGAACCATGGAGGGTTCTGAGCAGAGGAGGGACAAGACATGATTTAACTTTAAAGAATCCCTCTGGCTGTGTGTTTGGAGGCAGAGAGGGCGTCCAGAAGCTACTGTTACATTCAGGAAGAGCCAGCGATGGCTTGGACCAGGGTTTGGAGGCAGGAAGGTGGTGAGCAGTGATCAGACTCTGAATATGTTTCAGAGGTAGGTAGAAGCAACAGGATTTTCTGATGGACAGAATGTCAGAGAGAGAGAGAGAGAGAGAGAGAGAGAGAGAGAGAGATTGAGAGAGGTCAAGACTGTCCCCAGGGACTTTGTCTGTGCAACTGGCAGGATGGAGTGGTCAGCAACCAAGACGGGAACGATCATGAGAGGAGCAGGTTTGGGGAAGGAGCTGGAGTTCAATTTTGTACATGTTAAATTTGAGCACCTGTCAGACATCTGGGTACGGAGTTGGGTATCAGTTTGGGAGCTGTTGATATATGCAGAGGATTTAAACCAGGAGAGGGATCCAAACCCTGAGACTGGGACATGGTGGGGTGGAAACTGGGGGAGATGCAGAGAATCAGCAGAGGCGCTTGAGCTGGGAGGTAAGAGAGACAGACTGCATGTTTGCCCGGACCTGGGGCTGAGATAGCACGGAAACCTCCACTCCCAGGCCCCTGGTCAAGACCATCGTGGAGATGCACATGCAGACAGAGGTCCAAGCCATCATCACAGTGAACGCCAGTGAGAGGGGCCACACCCACCTCGTCCTCGAGGACTGCTCCAATAGCCATGGGAGCCTTCGCATCAGCCTGCTGCAAAAGTGAGTGTGGCCACCTGCCTCCGTGTTCCCACCGTGCCCAGGAGGGGACCAGGTAGTGGCCTTGCCCCGTTTTACATTTGGAGAACACTGAAGCCCAGAGAAAGAAAGGGACTTATATCCCTCCTGACTCTTAGCTGAAGCTCCTTCCAGGGAATCTGTGATGCCAAAGAAAGTTCGAGACATCAAGAGCAGAATCAAGGATGGTGGGATTTCAGGCATCATGCCAGGAAGTGGGGCAAACATTTGAAGGCGGAGAGGAGCCACATTCCTAGGGCGCCTCCAACCACCTCAGGCAGCCTTGAGTGGAGCATTGGGTAAAAACACACTTTGGAGTCAGGCAAATGCATCGTCTTCATTTACTGTCTGTGCAATGCTGGCAAGGTGCATCCCTATGCCTCCGCTTCCAGGCCACAGTGACAAGACGAGACCGGGCTGCAGCCATAAGCATTCCCCACAGTGCATGGCAAACAGCCGGTGCTCAAAAACGTGCTTTCCTCCACTTCTTATCAGGAGAATGGGGACAAATGCCAATGCCATCATCCCAGTCTCCAGCAAACATTTCTAAAGACAACCCCCAGCCCCTAGTTCGTGAGAAGTCTCTGCCACCGTCTACATCTGGCTGGGGGTCTACTCCACACTCCGTGCTGTGTGACCATGAGCAAGTGTCTTCTTCCCCTGGGCTCTGTGTTCCCTTCTATAAAACAGCGTCATCTCTGGCCCTTCCTAATCTCTCTCCCCTTCTCCTCTCCGCAAGGCTCTCCTTTCTGGTCAACTCCTTAGCCAACAAGGTCATGAGACTCCTGGTGCCAGCCCTGCCCAAACTGGTGAAAACCCAGGTAAGTGGAATCACGGCCTCTCTGGCCTGCAAAGATTGCCCCCCCCTGTGGGTCTGGGGTGGAAAGGCAAGCTGGTGCTAAGGGCCCCGTGTCTCCTTGAGTTAGGAAAACTCTGGGCCTGACCATTCTTTCAGTGGCTCATTGAGGCAAAGGTAACAGAACTGCCAGAAGTCACCCAGCAGGCCTTGAACAGCGATGTGCTGATAAATTATTAACAACTGACTCTCGAGAGGTTGAGGGGAAAGGAAGCCTGATTTGAAGCACTTGCTGATTTCACTGGTATAAACACTTCCTCTGAGGCCAATTTCAAGCTGTGATGTCACTGAGCAGAGTTGGGAAGAATGGCACAGGAGCACACTATTGTATGGTATTTCTGCTACACAGATGCAAGAGACATAAATAACCTCAAGAGCAATAGATAAGAGTAAAATATAACAAAGTAATCAGGAAGTGGTGAGTTTTGAATTCTCATGAGCTTTGCTTTTATTTATTTTATTTAGTTATTTATTTAGAATTTAATTTTTAATAATGTCTGGGTTTAGCACATGGCTCAGAAATTCCTGAAAACTTAACACTTGGCCCTTGCAAAGTGGTCCAGGCTGGTTCTAGCATACATGAGTCTCCTATCAACCTGATCAACCTGTGGTCTTCAGGGGTCTGTCCCCCACCAGGCCCTGCTGGATCTATTTTTCTGAGGCAATAAACATACGTTAATCTCAGTGTATATGTCCCTTATAGGGCACATATACAGTGAATTTATAACTGTAAGTTGGATTAATTCACTTTGACCATTGATTTCCACTGTAAATTTCAAGATGGGTTCACCACAGTGGGCCTCCTGGAGATCAAAACACCTTGTCAGATAACTGATGTTCTTTATAATAAAACTTTTTTGAATTGAAAAGGTGATATACTAACTGAAATGACTTGGGGGGAAAGTGCCCATAATCCTTCTACCTTAACTTGGCACCTATTCTCTCTTTTGTGTATATATTGCCTTCCAATCTCCATCCATATGCATTCATAGTTTTATGTGGCTCTTCTCAGCATCAATATAATTTAATAGTCCTTAAGCTATACGCATGTTCTATGCCACTATATAACATTCATAATTATTGTAATAGCTGCATCATACTTAATACTTTACTAAACCATGCAGAGAGACTTCTAAAAAGAATCTGAAAATGAAGAATTTTGTAAAATTTGTCTCTTCTTACATGAGATATTTTTTTCTTTTAAGATTTTTATTTCTGCTTAGAGGTAGGAGTTTCTTAAAGTAGGACCCAGCTAGAAATTTTTTCCCAGTCTCCAACAAAATCATATTTTAACCGGCATCATACTTCACCAGCTAAAAATGTATTTTCCACTAGAAAATATGGCATAAAAATGTTCTTTGCATAATATCTCTTTTTAAGGGTGAAAGTTAAGTATAATGAATGATTCGAGAAAATTGGCATTTTGTTAATCACTATCGTTTCCCCACTGTGACTCAGTGGATTTGATTCAATGGTCATGTGAAAATTCTGCCTGAAACGAAGAGAAAAGGCACAGCATGCTTAAATCTGACAGGAGCCCATCTAGAAAATGCTGAAGCCCTTTCCAGTGTAAATATGTGGGCCCCAGCCCCAGCTGCACATCAGAACAACCTGGGATAGCTTTTTAAAATACTGATAGATACTCCAATGTCATGGGTGTGGGTGGCGCCCTAGTATCCTAGAGGGTTCTAGCTGGTATCCCCGACGATTCTAATGGGTAGTTAGGGTTGAGAGCCACTGGTGGAAATGAAAGAAAGAGAGTTGTGAGAGATGATTGCCAGCGACACCCTTCCCATGAGGAACAGGCTGGTCCCTGGCAGGTGAGTGGGTCTCCGAGCCCAAGCCCCTCATCCTCCCTGGGTTCTGGGTTGGCAAAGCAGCTAGGGGTAGGGAATGGGTTTTTCACAGAAAAAGTTAACTGTTCATAAAAAACTTTCATAGGAAAAGTTTCTCAAAGTGCACTGTCCCCTCTCAAGAGTGGCAATGGGTGGTCAAGCAGAAGATTCTTCCACCAGGGATATTGCATCTAAGACAAAGTGACAAAATCTCAGTGCACTGCCCTAGAAAATGTGCTGCCTAGAGCAGAGAACAAGGCTCTGGAGTCCCATGAGCAAGTGAGTGAAAGGTTTAACCTCCTCCTTAAGCAAAATAGGTGAGGCCAGGATTAGGTTAGACCAGAGCTTCTTACCTTCAGCGTTACTGACAGTTGAGTCATGTAATTCTTTGTTGTGGGAGCTGTCCCACACTCTGTGGGGGTGTTTAGTGGCATCCCTGGCCTCTATCCACTAGACGTCGATAAGCCTTCCCCCCCAGTTGTGACAACTAAAAATGTCTCCAGAAATTTCCAAATATCTCCTAGGCAACAAAATCAGCCCCCTGCTGAGAACTGCTAGCAGTTTTAGGGGAAGAAGAGCTCACTGGGCAAAGGGACGTGTTGGAGCTAGAAACCCACAAAAGGCACAGAGATTGTTCATGAGTCTGGCTGGGTCTGCCTTGCCCGGCCCCGTTCTAGTCTGACATGCAGAAGGAACTCAGTAAACAGTGGTTGAATAAGTAAGTGAATGAAGAAATGAATTCTCCATTTCCCTCTTATGGAAAACATGGGCTCCTGTGAACAGGACAAAGAGTCTGATGGGGAGGGCAGCTGGCTGGCCAGGCACACCGTGGACATAGGGGAAGGGACAAACCACTGCAAAAGATTCCAGGCAACACCAGGGGCTGGGGAGGGCTCCGGACGGCACGGATGGCTGGCGGAGTGGACACAACACCAAGTCCTCGATCCCATAGGCAAAAACCTCTATGGCCATGGACACATGGGCTCAGGCTGGGTGGGCCAGACACGGATCACTATGGGGTTAGGGTCCGGCCCCTCAGTAATGGAGCCTCTGCATTTGTGCTGTTGCAGCTGTGTCCTGTGATCAAGGAGGCCTTTGAGGACATGCATGTGGACCTCCTGAGCCTGGTGAGGGGTAGGTGAGCTCTCTCCCACCTTTTTCCTTTGCTGCCGAGCTGGCCTCCACGCTCTGGCTCTGCCCAGAAGAGGCCTCCCAAGTCACATCTGCACAGTAACTTGGCCCAGCAGCAAGTGAATGAGCATCCATGGATCCCTCCCAAAGATAAGCAGACAGGAATTCACCACAGTTGTGACTTCACAAGGACCTACCATATGCAAGTTTATGTGAGCCAGATTTCCAAGTTCAAATCCCAGGTCTGCCACTGACTTGTTCTATCACTTTGGGAAAGCCACTCCACTTCCTTATCCTCACTTTCCTCATCTGTAAAATGGGGCTCATACATCCCTACCTCACAAGATTGTTAGTGAGGATTACAAGTTTACAGGAAAGTCCCAGGCACACGGCAGGTGCTCTGCCTGGCACAGAGAAGAGTTTGCAAATGTGAGCTGAATGGATGAATGAGTGAATGAATGAATAAACAAATGCTATAGCAATTACTGTGGGCTTATTGAGGAGAGAAAACAAGGGAAAAGACAAAATGTGTGCTCAGGAAGGAGGTTGTTTCTCCCTTCCCAAGAGTAGCAGAGATGGGAGGACCCAGGCTTCTGTCCCTACGTAACAACTGTACTGTCCTCAGAGGGGGGATTAGTGGGAAGAAGAAAATTCTACCATCCACTGTTTCAGGATCTGAAGAAGCTCACTCAAAGGGTGACCAGGGAGGAGGGGGGAGAGAAGAATGGAATTAGTACACATTGAACACCCACAAAGCACCTACTGGGCTGGGTGTTTTATATACACTGCCTCAGTGACTCCTCAGATAATTCCATGAAGTGGCCATCATTACCCCACTTCACAGATAAGAAAACTGAGGCTCAGAGAAATTAAGTCATTTGTCCAAGTTCACAGAGGAAATTAGGGATGAGGAAGGTTTGAACTCAATTCTGCAAGTTCCAAGTCTGGAGTCCTTCATATATGAGCCAACTTAAATAGGTACCAGTCCTGTACAACCTATGTATGAAGCACGTATTACTGTTATACCTACCCCCATTTTAAGAGGAGAAAATTGAGGTTCAGAGGTAGGAACAGACTAGCCAAGGCTACTGAGGCTCAAAGGGAAGTCTGTCTGGCTCCTCTGTTCCTCAGGAGCAGGGCAGGAGGTCTCTCCAGGGGAGCAGGGGATCCAAGAATTCACTGCCCGAGCCTGTCCCTGAACCTCTCTGCAGCCCCGCCCATTCCCGGGCCCAACAGCCAGGGCAGATGAGACACCACTGCCACATGGTGGCCAAGTGGGGAATCCTGAGGCAAACACAAGCAATCCTTTGCATAGATGGGCGTGCACCAAGTACTCTGTCCCATGGGGGGGGGGGGGGAATGCATGCAGATCACCATCCCCTGGAGGAGGTGGAGAGTTATAAGCAATAGTTCAGTCTTGTTCCAAACCAGGACTCTGGCACAGGACCGACTGGGTTCAAATCCTTTCACAGTATGACCTTGAGCAAGTCATTTTGCTCTTCTGAGCCTCAGTTTTCCCATCTGTAAAATGGGGGTAATAATAGGCCCTACTTTCTAAGGTTACTGCAAAGACCAAATGAGTGTAAGTGTAAAGGTTTAGCACAGCCTGCGGTGCTTGACATACGCTCAGTAAATGTCATTCCCATCATCATTATCAACACTGCTATTCCTGCTCCTCCCTACAAACAGAAAGCCCAACCGGCCGAATGCAGCCCCCAAAGCGCCCTGTCCAATACTGCCCTCCTCCCTCACAGAACTTTCTTCTTGTCTCAAGCAGCGCCCATTTCCCTCGGCTCTAACCACCTGGAGTTTGACCCTCTGTCTCCTGCCATCAAGGGTAATGTTATCCAGCTGAAGCTGGGGGTGAGTGTCATGGGGCCTCAAAAGTACAGCAGGGACATCACTGCCCTTCTCTCACCGCCAAAGATCAGACACCACGGGTCTGTTTCAGGGGAGAAGATACCGCTCAGGGTTAGGACACGCAGGCTGATTTAGAAAAATCTCCACGGGCCGAACGTGTCCCACGCACACCATCTTGATGGAGGAACGCCAGCAGGTGGAATCCAAGGGCTACACGCAGGACGTCAGCCCCAGTGATCTGTCCTCCCACCCCGGTTTCCCCACTCAGAGGCCAGAGTACGCACCGGTGCTCTTGGCCTTCCTCTCAGGCAAGCCCTGCCAAACCCCAAATATCTGACGACTTTGAAACAAGAGCCCAGGACCAACACCCATCACTGGGGATCACACAGACCTAAGTTTCTCTCCCAGCTCCACAACTCCCTGGCTGTGTGACTTTGGGCAAGTTTTGTCACCTCACTGAGGCTCAGTTTCCCCATCAGTAAAATGTAGACAATAAAGTCACCAAGAAGATGAAGTGGCAGGCAGAGGGGGCCAGTAACTGTCAGCTGTCTGTAAAATGTGAGGCCGTGCACTCACACTGGGGCTGGAGTCCCTGAGGGACCTGGCCAACCTGGAAAGCCTGAATCCCAGGCCAGTTTTCATGGATCTTTTGGGAAGCTGTCACAATCAAACATTTTTATCAATTTTGTTGCAGTTTTGAATTTTCCCTTCACCCAAAGGGTTTCTGAGATATCTGAGAACTTAAAACCTAAATGCTAAATAAGGTATCTAGGTTTTAAAAACAGAGATTAACTGAGGGGTGCTAGAGGAGTAGAGGTTGCTGGCCACCTTAGATAACTCATCACCTCGGGCTAAGCTTCCGGTCAGCAAATGCAAAAAGGGAAACAGGATGAATGGTGTCATTTTCTTCTAGGTTGCTATTGGCTAAGACTTTGGAGTTAAGGTTCCCAGCCAACTCTCTGCTTTGTGTCTCTTTAGGCCAAGTTGGTGAACTCTCAAGGAAATGTGACCAAGTGGTTCAAAGAGTCTGCAGTTTCCCTAACAGTGCCCGCCCTGGACAACACCCCTTTCAGCCTCACTGTGAGGCAGGATGTGGTGAATGCTGCTGTAGCTGCCTTGCTCCCTCAAGAAGAACTCGTAGTCCTGTTGGACTATGTGGTAAGTCTTGGCATGAGAGGACGGGGCCCCCACTGCTACATCATGGGAATTTCCTGAATCAAGGGGCCTGAAGGACTGCCCTAAGCCTCTGAGCAGTAATCCCCCGTCAGGCTCAGTTTAAATCCCTCCAGTAATGAAGAGCTCACCCCCTCCTCAAACAGACCCTGACTCTGACATACGGCTCTAAAGCTGCAACTTTCCTTGTAACATCCAGCGCCAGATCCAGTTCTGTCCTCTGGAACCTGATACAGCTGCTTCCTCTACCAAATAAGAGTCCTGTCAAGCCAAAGGGCATCTTAGATATTGGGTGGTCCTGGGACAGCAATCGTGCCCCCGCTGTCCACTATGGAGCCCACGGCAGACATCACTAATCAATCAGGGTCCTCCTTACAATTGAGCCTAGATGCCGACACGGCCCCGGAATCCTTATATTAACCCAGCATAGCAGACAATCACCACCCATCAGCTGGAGTGTGTCACCTCCTCTCTAATGACCAATGGGGAAACTGAGGCCCAAAGCTATGGGAGGGTGGCAGGAGTTCGGGTCAGCTGATAGGCAACAGATAACCAAGGTCTTGGAGATTAGAACTCAAGAGTAAGGGACGAAAACGATGAGAAAAGAGGAATGGTCACTGGCAACCACATTCATGACAATAGTAAGAATTGGGTCACTTCTCTATGTCCTCAGGGAGCAGGGAGCTGCCCAAGACCCAGAACCACCAACTCACAGTAAAACGCCAGGCCAGTGAGAACCCCATGCCCCGCAGCAGCTGACATAGGGGCTGTTTTCCACCAGTGGCAGTCATGGGGCCTGGACTATCAGACCCACCAGCTTTTCTGGGGTTCTGGGGATCTGGGCAATGGGGCTGCTGGAGGTGTGCCTCCCTTTCCCCCCCCCCCCCAGCTGACCCACTCTGCCTCCCCCTCGTCCTCAGCTTCCTGAGCTGGCTCGCCAGTTGAAGTCAAGCATCAAGGTGATCAGTACCAAGGTTGGTCCATTCGCTGTCTGCAGTTTGATGGGTGCTCGCTGTGATCTGTGCACTGTCCTCTGAGGACTAAAATACATGTAGGACTGTTCTGTTTCCTTCTAGCCCTAGTGTCTGCAGCAGACCAGGTCCCTGTCCTCACAGAGTTTCATTCTAACAAGGCAGTGTGACCTGCATCAATATTACACAGATAATATTTCAGTTATAAGTGTGGTGACAAGGGATAGATTCTAGGGGTTATGAGGGCATTACTGGGACACCTGATATAATCCAGGAAATTAGAGAGGGCTTCTCTGAAGAGAAGGGTATTCCAAACAGGGAGAAGCAAGACCAAGGGCTGTGAGATGGGGAGAGCAAGAATTCGTTCCAGGCTCTGAGAGAAGGACAGTGGCTGAAGTACAGAAAGGAAGTAGGGAGGCCAGGAAGGTGGACAAGAGCCAGGTCACAGGGGCTACGTGGGGCCTGTGAGCCATGGGGAGGCACTTGGGAGGCCTTATGCGGATCTCATATCTTTCCAGGCTGCGGATCAGCTGGGGCCCACACAGATGGTGAAGATCCTAACTCAAGAGACCCCAGATCTCCTTCTGGACCAGGGTACTGCCAAGGTGGCCCAATTGATCGTCCTGGAAGTATTCGCCACCAATGAAGCCCACCGCCCCTTCTTCACCCTGGGCATTGTGAGTCCAATTGTCTATGGCACGAGCAGCAACCTGGGGGACCTTCCTACTCACTGGTCTCTTTCACCCCCTCTTGCTTTGTTGTTTCCAGCACTCTTGGCAGGGATGGGGGAGGGGGAGTTCTGAATCAAGAACCAGGAGCTTTGGTCCAACTCTGGTCCTATGACTTTATTAGTTAGGATCTTTAGGTAGAAACTTAATTCACATGCACAGCAGGAATTGTATTAGTTCATATAACTGAAAAGTCCAGACGGTCTAGCTTCAGAAATAGCTGGATCCAGGTGCTCAAACAATGGCATCTTCATTCTTCTCTTCTCACCTGGAAGCTGTGTTTTCCTATGTGCTGCCTTCATCCTCAGACAGATTATCTTCTCATGGAAGTGCCCGAAGCTGTATCAAGATATCAGGTTGGCAACATCAGCTGAACCAGCCTCTTTTCCTCCGGGTAGTTGCAGCAAAAGTCCCAAAGCTAACTCTCATTGGATGAGCTTGGATCATGTCCCCATTCTTGAACCAATCAGTGTGGCTAGAAAAATACACCTGAGTCGGGAGTTTGGCTGTATCCAAACCACACAGACTGAGGGGGAGAAGGGTAATTCCTCTTCTGAAGTATGAGCAGAACTAAATCAGCTCCAAGTAAGTTCTTGATTGATTTTCCCAGTAGCCCCAGCAGGTCACATCTCAGAGTTTCCATTTAGCAGGGGGACTCTGTGGATAAAGGTATAGAGGTGGGGGGTCTGCAAAGGATAATCCCAATAGTATGGTATCTTAGGGTCGGGCCCTAGAAACAGAGCCTAAGAGAAGGATTCTTACAAAAGTAATTTATCGGGGAGAGCTGCCAGAGAGCCCCATAGAGGAGATCTGAGTGGGGCCCCAACCACATCCACGACAGAGGGCAAAGGGCAAAGGGAAAAGACAAGGCAGGATTCGTGTTTGGGCACTGGAACCATGCTTAACCAAGGAGTCTGGAAGTATCCGGCTGTTGGCAGACTAAAGTTGACACTCCCCTTACAGCACGGTTGCTGCGTACAGTTGTGCAGGTTGTCCGCCCACACTGTCAGGGGGTACTGTTCACAAAGAATACAGGATGCACAGTGCCCTGGCTTCCTATATTAAAGGATATTCTGACCCCACAACCAGCAGGAGGGACTGCCCATGCCAGCCTCGCTCTTTATTGACTTGGCCCCTCCTTGGCCAATGGCAGACACTTTTCAAAAGGCCACCAAGCCCAGGCCTGCAGGACAAGTCTGGTCTCTGGGTGCATCCGACCTGGAGCTGGAGCCTGGCTCTGCCCTCAGGCTCACCCAGCCCACAGGTCAAGTTGATGTATATCTTTGACGCCCATATTGGAGACCTTGCTAGCTACTGACCTTCCAATAATAACAATGGTTAACATTTACTGGAGGCTTACTGGTCTTCTTTGTCCCTCAGTTTCCTCACCTTTACAATGGGGTAATAATAGGAGCCACTTCATGGGGTTGTGAGGATCAAAGGAGATAATCAGATAAAGTTACTAAAACACTGCCTGACACGCAATGAGGACTCTGTGCATATCAGCAGCTGTAATCATCATCATCGTTGCCCACAACAACCCCATGTTGTAATCTGGTCAGCAGACGGTGGGTACAAATACTGTCTCATTTAATAGAAGAGGAAAGCAAGGCCCAGAGAGGCCAAACCCTTTCCCAAAGTCAGAGCCAGTAGCTGAGATCTAGACAGTGTCGACCTGACCCCAGATCCTCCTTCTATAACCTCACAGCCCATGCTTGACGCAACTCCTGAAAGAAATGGGGCCTGGGCTTCTCTTGTTGCAGGAAGCCAGCTCAGAAGCTCAGTTTTACACCAGAGATGACCGACTTATGCTCAGCTTTAACGAAATCAGGTAAACATGTAAATCACTGTCTCACCCTGTGACCAGTGGGATGTTTCGAATCTCTGGGGTGTGAGCATGGATGGAATAAAGGCTACTCCTAGATGGGCAGAAAGGTGACATTGCCTGGACTATCCCGCTTTGGGGACCAAATGTCAGAGAAAGGGAAAGACAGGAAAGTGGCCTTGCAGCAGCCATGGGAACAGCCTGCCCAGCACCATCCCCTCAGCTCATTCTAAACACCTCCAGGACAGCGGCTTTGACAGTCAAGCCCAGATGCTGACCCCAAGCCCAGAAGCACAGGGCTCCAGCTGCCTCTTGTACTTCTCCCCACACCCCATAGCCCTCCTGTTGCCCCAAAAGGAGTTCAGGGGTTGCAAACTAGAGCCTGCTGGAACAAGTCAAGCTCTACATAGTAGGTGCTCCATAAATAGTTGTTGAATGAGTGAATGAATGAGTGAATGAATGAGCCTCTGAGGGGCCATTCTCACTGGCATCTTCTGTTGCAGTTCTGATCGCATCCACTTGATGAACTCAGGCATTGGCCTGTTCAACGTGAGTATTAATAGATTGTCCCTGGGGCACAGGGGATAGCCCGGGATGGTCCATTTCAAAGACAGACATTGACCAGGATTTGCTTCGAACAAGGTCCCCATAGGCAGCCCCATGGTGGGCTGGCCAGCCTCCACATTATCAGCCACAAAGTCCAACCTCCTGGCTCTGGTGTTTACTGAGCACCTGCTGTATGCCGGACACAGCTGAGAACGTGCTAAATGCTCACAGATACACATTTACTTTTCTTCTGTAACATTTTGGTCCTAAACGAGAAAACAAATCCCTTCTTTTTGCAATCTCATTTTGCTCATGTACTCATCTCAGTGACCCTGGACAGCCTCTTCCCTGAGGTCCTCTGTTTCCCCAGCTGAGACAGAGTGGATCAGGGATCTCAAACTGGCTGCTTCCTGTCTCCTGCCATGGTTTCGTTTTGTTTTGTTTTTTGGTCCTCATGTTTTGTTTTGTTTTTTAATTTTTTTTAATTTTTTTTTTTTGGCTAATTTTTTTAAATTTTTAAAAATTTTTTTTTTCAACGTTTATTTATTTTTGGGACAGAGAGAAACAGAGCATGAATGGGGGAGGGGCAGAGAGAGAGGGAGACACAGAATCGGAAACAGGCTCCAGGCTCTGAGCCATCAGCCCAGAGCCCGACGCGGGGCTCGAACTCACAGACCGTGAAATCGTGACCTGGCTGAAGTCGGACGCTTAACCGACTGCGCCACCCAGGCGCCCCTTTTTGGCTAATTTTTAAGTGGGGAGGTTCTCACATGAAAATCAGAACTTCTGGCTTCACCAGAGAAGTCAAAAGTTGGGAAACAGGGTGAAATTCCCTCAGGGCAAATTCAGCTAGAACAGAGCAGTGGAGCCCCTGAGGGCAGGGAGTGCATCCCTCTAATATTCCCCAATCCCCCAGATGGGTTTGTACTGCCCCCAGTATGTCTGGTCCCCTGGATCCCTCACAGCTCTCACTGGCAGAGGCCTGGGATTCCAGTATGTCTCCTGGCTGCCCTGATCCTGGGGCTGGGCCATACCCATCCTAGGAATAGCTGGCGGGGGGGGACTCTGGATCCTCAGGCAAGGTAACAATGCCCCTCTCTCTCACAGCCTGAACTTCTGAAAAACGTCACCACTGAGATCCTCAACTCCGTCCTACTGCCAAACCAGAATGGTGCGTCCCTTTGCCGTCCATCCCCCCCACTCCCTAGGGCTTTGAGGGTGGATGCTTCACTCCGCCTGCCTGCATCTCACTTTCTGTCAAATTCCACCTCCTCCAGGAAGCCTTGCTGGTCACCCAACTAGAAATGACCTCTCCCATCTCCAACTTTCCAGCCCAGTTCCTTTACTAGTACCAGTACATAGGCATGCAAAGACAAACCAGGCAATGCTCCCGCCTCACAGGGCTGATGGCAGAGAGACAGAGGTGTAAACAGACAACTAGGACACGCTCAAGGTGCCTCAGGTAGACCTGGGTTCAAGTCCCGAATCCCCTTCTTGTTGGCTACCTGGCCTTGAGCAAGCTGCCTTATCATCCTAACTCAGTTTCCCCATCTGTAAAATGGGAAAATAAAAGTACCTTGCTCAGGCACATAAAGGAGACGATGATTTTAAGGGGCTGAAGGAGGTGCCTGGCACAGTTGGGTCTCAACGTCTCTTAACTATTCCTGATGTTTGCATTGTTATTTGTGTTACTAGAGGTGGAAGTCAAGAGAAAAGGTGGAATTACTCTACTTAAGCCCCAAGTTGGGGAGGGAGAGGTGAATTACTAACCTATGCCAACGACATCTTTTTCATAATTTTATTAGCGTAGGAAATCTCAACGTATAGGCACCTCCCTTGTGAATGACAGGGAGGTCGTTCTTTATGACAGAACAGTCATTCTGGCTGTTCTTTAGCAGAGGTGTGGGAGGAGGTGAAGAGTGCCCTTTGGAGCTACCAGCTACTGTGCTGGAAGCACGGGGAGGGGAGATGAGGCTGGGTGGATGCTGGGGCCAGAGAACAGGCAAGAAGCATGAGGCACAGTCCGAACTGGGTGTGCCAGGTCCCGAGTTCCCTGCCCACGGCTGCTCTATCCCACCCCAGTCTCTGACCACATTCATTATTTCAGGCAAACTAAGACCCGGGATCTCGATACCGATGGTGAAGGCCTTGGGATTCGAGGAAGCTTCGAGCTTTCTTACCAAGGTGAGTGGGATTAAACATCCTGCCCCAGGGAGGGCACAGTTCCTGGGGAGAGTCCTGAGCTGGGAGGTAGGGCCCGCACTCCAATGCTGACCCCACTGGTCACTCATGGGGGGCCTTGGACAAGTCCCTTCTTTTCTCGTGGCCTCACTTCTTCATCTATAAGTGTAAGAGTGCAACTGTCCTAGCCTGGGGTGCATTTGTCTCCGGCTCTTTCTGTTCGACCTGTTATTCATTCATTCACTCATTCATTCATTTGTTCATTCATTCAGCAAGGCTTGGCACACCGTAAATGCTTAATAGATGCTCGCTGAGCAATGTCCCCTTGGCACCTACTAGGGAGTGAGGCTATCACAGCATCACTCCCACCCCCAAATATTATCATTAACAATATTTAATAGCCCATAATCACTCTGTGCCATTCAACAGCATCTTGTTCAGTCTTCACATTCACTCTATGTGGTATATCCCCATTTTGCAGACAGAGAAACTGGGACTCGTGAATGACAAATCCATTTCCAAGGACACACACAATAGGTGGCAAAGTTGGGATCTGCACTCTGCACCTGCCCTCATAACACCTGCTTTGGTCCCCAACTTCTGCAGGAGCCAATGACAGTGAGGTGGGCTCCTCTCAGTCAGCCAGCCAATCAGCAGGCATTTATTAAGCACTTACTGTGTACCAGGCACTGATCACAACAGTGAACAAAACAGACAGAAACCCCTGCCTTCTTGGAGTTTCTAGTCCACTCTAGGTGGGGGAGACATTGAAAGCAGATTTTTTTTTTTTAGTTTATTTACTTATTTTGAGAGAGACAGAGACAGCATGAGTTGGGGAGGGGCAGAGAGAGAGACAGAGAGACCAAGAATCTCAAGCAGGCTCCGCACTGACGCAGAGCCTGATGCAGGGCCCGAACCCACAAAACCGTGAGATCATGACCTGAACTGAAACCAAGAATAGGATGCTTAACCAACTGAGATACCCAGGTGCCCTGAAAGCAGAATTATTAAGAATTAAGAAAATCCAGGGAGTTTGGGTGGCTCAGTCAGTTGAATGTCCAACTCTTGATTTCAGCTGAGGTCATGATCACACAGTTCATGAAAGATCAAGCCCCGCATCAGTCTCTGTTAAGCAGCATGGAGCCTGCTTGGGACGCTCTCTCTCTTGGTCTCTCTTTCCCTCTTTCAAAATAAATAAGATTTTTCGGGGCGCCTGGGTGGCGCAGTCGGTTAAGCGTCCGACTTCAGCCAGGTCACGATCTCGCGGTCTGTGAGTTCGAGCCCCGCGTCAGGCTCTGGGCTGATGGCTCAGAGCCTGGAGACTGTTTCCGATTCTGTGTCTCCCTCTCTCTCTGCCCCTCCCCCGTTCATGCTCTGTCTCTCTCTGTCCCAAAAATAAATAAACGTTGAAAAAAAATTCAAAATAAATAAGATTTTTAAAACAAAAGAAAAAGAGGGGCACCTGGGTGGCTCAGTCAGTTAAGTGTCTGACTTTGACTCAGGTCATGATCTCCCGGTGTGTGAGTTCGAGCCCCGCGTCGGGCTCTGTGCTGACAATTCAGAGCCTGGAGCCTGCTTCAGATTCTGTGTCTCCCTCTCTCTGCCCCTCCCCTGCTCGTGCTCTGTCTCTCTGTCTCTCTCCCTCAAAAATAAATAAAACATTAAAATTTTTTAAATAAATAAATAAAAAGAAAATTAAAAAAAGAAAAGAAAATCCACAGGTGATTGCCCACCCTTCCATGCCCAAGGTGTCCAACCTAAGGCCAGAAGGCCAAACTCCTATTAGTCCTGATTTTCCTAAAGTTGTGGATTGGTATCAGTGAATTCCTGAATTATTCAGTTCTGGAGAAATTCACAAAGGAAAGAAGTCTCAGAAATGCCTCTCCACATGCCACGAGATCACACTGGTGGCAGGGTAGGAAGCTTTGTTAACTAGCTTCCAAGGCAAGTTGTGGATGACTTACTACCAGCTGCCCACCCCCAAAATCTGTGTCTACCAAAAACAAGGACAGCGCTGTGGGTGGTACAGAGAGAGGCTGAAAGTCTAGACTCAGAAACCAGAGGACCATTTCAATCCCAGCTCTGCCTCTCTCTAGCCATGGACCTCAGGCAGGTCCTTCAGCCTGAGCCCAGCTTTCTCATCCATAAAACCCAGCAGACGTATGAATACACAGGCCTTACTCTAATGGACTACATTGCAATGATCCAGTTAAAATATAAGCAGTTTATCTAAAATACATACTACACTCAACTCATGTTGGATGAACAGCAGTGTCCATACAACTAAATGGCTAGAGCTTGGTTTATTTCACATATCTCTTCTTAGGAGACATTTAGCTACTTTCCTCTATTTTTTTTTTTTTTTAATCAACTTGCACTGCATGGTCCATCATTTGTACTTTGGGTTGGAAAGGTATCATTTCATTCTTTGGGTCTGTTTCCAAGTTTCCTGTTTTGCTCTATTCATTTGTTTTGAGATAGCAGTCCATCGATTTCCTTTTTATAGATGTGTATATGTTTTTAAAGCTAGCCGGAGGAATGAATAAGTAGATAGATATGAGATAAAGCAAGTATGGTTTAGAAAAAGCTAATGACATAAACTAGGTACTAAGTATACAAGTGTTCACTGGAAAATTCTTTCCACTTTGCTCTGTTTAATAATTATCATAATAAAATATTGGGGGAATTCTAATAGGTTAAGTTCCTTCCATCACATTTAGTTTAAAAAAAAAAAAAAAGAGCATTGTTAAAAAGTTAGCTTGCCTGGACCCAGTGAATACACCTAAGTATCTGCATTTTATGAAACTTCTTGGGGAGTTTTGGTGACCACCTGGGCTCGGGGACAACAGTCCTACACAATCCCATACTTTGCATGCAGACACTTTACCTGTGCTCCAGACCCCTGCACAGCATCACTGTTCACAGACAGACCCTACTCCTCTGACCCTTCCAAGAATTCTGTGTGAGTTCAGGGTCATGATTCCCAAAGCCAGCGGTCACCTTGTAGAAGATACACCAGCATAAACCACAACAAGGTAGGGGGTAAAACGCTGAATTGGTTTTTCTCCTCCAACTCAAGGATTCTCTTGTGATCACCCCGGCCACCCAGTAGAGCCCTGGACCACCCTCTTGTCTCCCGTGAAGACTTGGATGATGGCCATCCAGAGCAGGCTGGGTCCCAGTAGGAGTATGGAAGCCAGCTCTGTAGACTGTCTCTCTCTGCAATAAATAAATACTTGTCTGTGACTCCCACAGCGTGGAGTGTATCTTTGTCCCAACTCAGGAGTCATTTGCAGGTTTGGGAACTGAACATCCAAGCCACATCAGAGTCATGTTTAGGCACATCTCAGCCAATCTGGCCTATGCCCGAGCTATGCCTGGGTCATGCGTGGACTATATAAAGATAACATCCAAGATCATGGCTGCTTCCCTGGGTTTCAGGAATAAGGCAGTCATTTGTGCCCTCCTGCCTTCTGTGTCAGCCTCAATAACACCTATGGTGGAACCATCTCTTTGGTGGGGGACACATGTTTTGTTGATCTAGTGTGATGGATTGAGGGCTCTCTGAACAGTGTGACTCTGGAGAGAAATGAACTAGGGTTTGAATTCTGGCATGACCCCTCGACAGTAGTTTGACCCTTGGGATGTGGCTTCCCCTCTATGGGCCTCAGTTTCCCTCCCTACAAAATGAGGAGAATCGTAGTCCCCACCTTGAATGGCTATCATGAGGAGGAAATGAGAGAGAAGTGTTCCTGGCACATGGAAGGTACTCAGACAATGTCATCTGTGGGTGATGTCATCGTACTATTGTTACCTGGACTTCAGGATGTTGGGCCTTATCACTAAAGGCCCCTCCCACTTGGACAGTGTGTGACTGCCATTGTCTCCCTGATGTTAGCAGGATCAAGACAGACAATAGGGCCCCTGTTCTCTAGACTCAGGCTTGTCCCAGGACACAGAGGTCTTCAGTTACACAAAGGACCTCAGAGGATGGGACATTGGGTATTTCAGGAAAAGGCATTACCACCTTCAGGGTGTAAACAGGCAGGCGAATGGTGACAGCCTGGGAAGGCCGCCAGGAAGGAACTTCTCCTATCTACAAGACATGGGCGAGGCCAAGAGGGACACCAGGGGACAGGACAAGACCCTGCTCGAGACACTTACACAGGGTCAGCAAACACTTGCTGGGCGGTTGCTGAGTGCCAGGCTCCACAGCTTCCACATACACCCCCAACTCCCAGACACAACTTTGCCATCTGTTCTCCACACATCACATTCCACTGTTTCTCTAAATCGTACTGAGTCTGAGGTTTGAACCATCTCTGACCAGGAAGATGAGAAAGTCAACCTCCATCTTGTCTGGGGCAGGTCCCTCCTGGCTCCCTAGGGTCGTGCAAGGATCTGAGGGGAAGGAGGGCTTCGAGGAGCCTGGAAAATGGGGTAGGGCCTCTCTCTGGTCTTTGGTCCCATCTGGTTCCAATGATGGGATCCCTGTTCCACCCACGACCCTTCAGAGGACAGTGGCTCCAACACCCAGTCTGAGGCACTTCTCCGAAATAGCCATGGCTCCCGGGTTCCAGCCACCCATGACCTCTTTCTGGAGGAGGGGCTTCCTGGAGGTTGATGGATAAATAACCCGCTTCCTCACCGCCTGGGGCAGGGGGCAACTCCAACCCCACACAGCACCCCACAGGTCCGAGCTCAGGTGCCCACGGGGGTCACTTGCTCAAACACACCTTTCTGGGCCAGCTCCTTCTCCACCTCTCTTTCCTCCTCTACCAGCAACTCCTGGGATCACCTCTCAAATCAGCCACCTGCACTCAAACCCTGCTCTCAGGGTCTGCTTCTGGGGAACCCAAACCAAGATAAGCATTTGCTCTACAGGTATCATGCTAAGGGTCTCACCCGGCCTTCCCCACGGCCTCTGGCAGCCCCACTTGACAAATGAAGAGACTGAGACTCTGAACACTCACCACGACTACCAAGCAGCCCCTAACCATTACCCCACACTGCCTCCCTCCACTCTGTGCCTTCATCTCTGCCTCCCCACCTTCGGTTTCTACTTCCCGTAAAGAAGGAGAAGGGTTGTCTTCTGTGCCAACCTCCTTCTGTTTGGGGCCCTAAAGCAAAACCACCCTCCATGCACCTCTGAGGCGGGAACCCCCAGACCTGGAGCTCCAAGACTCCACCACCTTCCTTGGCCGGGGAAGCGAAAACTCTGCTTCCTTCCAAGGCTTAGCAGCAGCAGCAAATAAAAAACACCAGTGATTCCTCAGTAAATTACCCTGCCTCACAGGAAGTACTACTCTCTTTGTCTTACAGATGAGAGAACAGGTAATACACAGTCAGTGAGTTGATGGGAACCCAAGCCTCCCACCTGAATCACATCAGGACAATAACCCAGTATTCTTATTCCTCAAAATAACAGTGACAGCTAAATAGCCTCTAGTCCATGGGGGCCGCTCAGTACCCAGACAGGACTAAGCACTTCCTGTGAGATTAACATTCCCATTTTATAGATCCATAAACTGAGGCTCAGGGACAGAGAGTAAGTCCTTCCCAGGGCTTCCCTTTCATGAAGGAGACCCCCAGAAAATTCCCCATCTCTCAGCAGAGATTAGTCAATGAGGGGAACAGACAGAATCCATAGGGCTCCAGTCAAATTCGTCCCTCCTGCCTGGTTTAGAGAGGCCACGTTTGGGAAGGGAAAGATCTGCAAGCTTCCGCCAACATCCTACTCCAGTCCCCAGTGACTCAGTTGAGGACATTAACCCCAGAGCCTTTCTGTGCTCCAGACAGAAGGAGGACAGCACTTGGCAGTAATGTTGAGACCCTATCGACAGATAGGAATGAGGAGGATCCAGCAAGTTTTAGAGCATCTTCCAACCAAAAAGTCCATGATTTTATGACTCTGAGATTCTAGAATAAGTACATCCCCATCAAAAACACTTTACTGAATCATACTAACATCAGCCATTTGCTTTTGACATTAACCAGAGTGAGAACTTGAGAACTACCTAACATTGAACATTGACCTTGCATTTCCTGGGCAGCTGCTGCCTCCCAGAACCCACTCGCCCACCATCAGCCCCTCTGCCCTGTGTGTCCAGCCGAAGAATGGAGCTTAATACCTACCCTGACCATGCCTCTGTGTTGTGAATGGGAAAATAGTTAATCATGGGGAGAACCCTTAGAAGATCTAAAAGCCACCTAGAGATGAATACAAGTGCCATTCACATGACCATGGGCAGCAGTTAATGGAGTCCATGCTGACACTGACAGCTGTGCACACTCACAATGGTGGCACCGGGATTCCCAAAAAGGGACATTCCCAAAGAGGACCTTTGCCCACCGAATTTCCCTTTTGCTGGGTAGCCATTCCCCTCTCTGGGCCCGGATTTCAAATCCCACTTTTGCCACGGTGGACATGCTGTGTGACCTTGAGTAAATCATCCAACGTCTGTCAGCCACAATTCTTTTCTCTATAAGATAGAAATTAAAATAAGTGACTTTTCTGGAACGCTTCCTATGGATCAGGCCCTGCGCTGACATCTATATGAGTTGCTTCACAATCCTCACAAATACCAAAAAGACAGGGATGGATTTATTATTTATTTATTATGCCCATTTTTTCAGACATGACAAGTGAGGCTCAGAAGAAAAAGTAACCTGCCCAAAACATGAATAGACACTTCTCTAAAGAAGACATCCAGATGGCCAACAGGCACATGAAAAGATGCTCAACGTCACTCCTCTTCAGGGAAATACACATCAAAACCACACTCAGCTATCACCTCACATCAGTCAGAGTGGCCAAAATGAACAAATCAGGAGACTACAGATGCTGGAGAGGATGTGGAGAAATGGGAACCCTCTTGCACTGTTGGTGGGAATGCAAACTGGTGCAGTCGCTCTGGAAAACAGTGTGGAGGTTCCTCAAAAAATTAAAAATAGACCTACCCCATGACCCAGCAATAGCACTGCTAGGAATTTACCCAAGGGATATAGGAGTGCTGATGCACAGGGGCACTTGTACCCCAATGTTTATAGCAGCACCCTCAACAATAGCCAAATTATGGAAAGAGCCTAAATGTCCATCAACTGAGGAATGGAGAAAGAAATTGTGGTTTATATACACAATGGAATACTACGTGGCAATGAGAAAGAATGAAATATGGCCCTTTGTAGCAACGTGGATGGAACTGGAGGGTATTATGCTAAGTGAAATAAGTCACACAGAGAAAGACAGATACCATATGTTTTCACTCTTATGTGGATCCTGAGAAACTTAACAGAAGGCCATGAGGGAGGGGAAGGGGGGGAAAAAGTTACAGAGAGGGAGGGAGCCAAACCATAAGAGACTCTTAAAAATTGAGAATAAACTGAGGGTTGATGGAGGTGGGAGGGAGAGGAGGGTGGGTGATGGGCACTGAGGAGGGCACCTGTTGGGATGAGCACTGGGTGTTGTATGGAAACCAATTTGACAATAAATTTCATTAAAAAAAGAAAAAACGAAAAAATTAAAACAAGAAAAAAAGAAAAAGTAACCTGCCCACAGCTACACAGCTACTGAGCGATGGTGGGGATTTGAACCCAGGTCTGTGTGGCCGCAGAGGCATGGCACAGAAAACATGTGTGGAAAAGGGCTGGCTCTACCACGCCCCCGCTGTCCTCCATACATCCCCAACACACTCTCTCAGTTCTGGGTCTGCCACATCCTGTATTGGGAGCCTCCTCAGGCCCCTCCCGAGAGCTGAAGGCTCTGCCCCAGGCTCTGCACCTCTGATGTCACTCCGAAGGGGAAGGCCCCACCCCCAAAACCACAGAGCCCCCACCCCCTTCCTCCCAGAGGTCTGTTGGCCAGGGGCCCAGTGCCTGTGCCTTCAGGCCTCAGTGATGAGCCCTATCGGTTTTGGCCAGTAGCCCCTTGCCACCTGGTGCCAGGAGGACCCCTTTCTCCGCTGAAGAGCTCCTCTGGGCACAAGTCCCGCCCCACCCACCCGGGCTTCAGAGCTCAGGTTATAAAAGTTGTGTCTTTCTGGGAGGCTGGAGATGAGGCCAGGGAGATTCCGGGCCGTCCTGTTATTGGAGAGGTAAGGACAAGGAGGGCACTTCTCAAATGTTTCTTGAGCACCTACAATAATGTGCAGAGGTGCACAGATTCTTAGTGGTTTGAATCCACGCTCTGCCACCTGTGTGACCTTGGGGTGATTCATTTTTCCTCTCCGAGCCTCAGTTTTGTCATCTGTACATTGGACTTGCTATCAGTGATCCCAGACCATGTGGTGAGGACTCGGGGATATAATGAAGCTCTCTTTACAAAGTCCTTGGCATGGTGCCTGCCCCTTGGTAACAACTCAACTAGAAGTTGGGGCTGGTAGGGATGATTGAAGGCAAGAGTTGGAGAGAGCTGGAAGACAGTGTAATGTGTGAAGGGCAGGAAGGGAGGGGAGACCCGACTTGGGTGAACTAATTGAGAAAAGTGCCCAAGTAGAGGCTGACTAAACTCTGGTGGGCTGAACAGCGGGGGGTTTCACATCAGCCTGGAAGCAAAATACGAATAGCTAATGCCATGAGTACAAATTTTCCAGCCCCAAACCTGCATACGCAAGGGAACGGATACGTTTTTTATTATTCAGTGTAATCATTGTTTGGAGCTCCTATGCCCCCAAGCAACCAAAAACTGACTGCTGCTAATTCAAGGCATCGCTGGGATTTTCTCAGCTACTTCAGAGCAGGCTCAGTGCCTTGGCAGGGGGGGCAGTGTCTACCCTCTGGGGGGCTCCTTCATTGGCGCGGCATGGCAGGGTGTGGTGGTGGCGCCTCGGCGGGCCTGCCTACACTGGAGATGTCTGCATCCCAGCCAGTCCCTGCCTGGCAGCTCCAGAGGCTGCATCTCCTGGTGGCACACCATAGCCCACCCAGAGCGCCCCCTGCCTGCGGGCTCTGGGGTCCCAACTTTGCCCTTTGGCCACCAGGCAGGGCCGAAGTTCACCTGTTACAAACACACTGGTTGAAATATTGAAATATTTCCCTATTATCTGGTGAGGAAGTGTGGCTTCAAGCCCCTCCCCCCGCTGCCCACCCCAGCCAGTATAAGACCTCCCGCAGGACCCTCATCCCTTCAAGATCCAGAAATCTCCATGGTTCAAAGGGAGAGCTCCATCTTCTAACATCTCACAATGTCACCCGGCCACGTGAACAGCTGTTGAGCACACTGCTTGTCAAGTGCTTTGCACATATTGTTGAGTGTATTCCTCACAACAACTTATGTTTATCCCCATTCCACAGATGAGAACACTGAGGCACAGAGAGGTCCAGTAAGTGGCTCAGGGTCACACAGTCAGGAAGTAGCAGAGCCTGGATTTGAAGGCGGTCCACACGATGGGGAAGGGCACTCCAGGAAGAAAACAAAAGCACTAGTGTGAGGTGGTGAGAAGTGCAGGGTGTGTTCAAGGACTAGCGGATCCGGAACGAGGGGGAAAGACAAGGAAACGGAAGCTGGAGAGAGGTTCCAAGGGAGACAGGGCTGGGAGACCCTAGACAATGGGTCCCCAGTGCAGACGTGGAGGTGGCCACTGGGGTTTCCAGTTCTATGTCCACAGGTCCTGACTGGGAGGATGCTGCTGTTCTGGGGGTCACTGCTATGCTGGGGGCTGCTGCCCCAGGCTCAAGGGGAGGCCCGGCATCAGATCCTCCTGCGAATCAGCAAGGATCAGCTGAAAACAGGTAAAATTTAAGGGGTGGGCTTTGGGAGGCAAGAGCTCAGGGAAGGGCGGGGATGGGAGGCGGTACCACCATCTAGCCTCCCCATGGCCAGCAGCAGAATTTGCCTTCCTTCACCCAGACCTGACCTCATCCTTCCCCTGCTCTAACACTTGCTGTGGCTCCCTCATGCCTCAGGAGAAGCTCCAAGCTCCTCATCTTGGCATTCAAGACTCTGCATCCCCAGCCTCTTCCACTGCCACCTGTCCTGAGCACCCCCATAGACTTCACAGCCTCCTTCCCTTCCTGGGCTATTTCTTCTACCTACAATTCTCTTTCCCTCCTTCCCAACATGCTGAATTCTGACTCATCCTGTAAGGCAAAAGCTCTAACAGTCCCTCTGATGGGAATCCCGCCCCCACACCCCCAGTTTCCCCAGGCAGAAGGAGTCTCTTTCCTCTGGGCTCCCACAACCCTTTGGTGAAACCTCATCTATGGCATTTTCCTGATGTATGACACTTATCCTGTCTATGTGTCTGTTTGTCTCTCTCCCTCTTGACCATGAGCTCCTTACTGCCCATCCACCTCCTCCCCTACTTACCGCCGTCTATCCTCACCCATCTTTTGGTTTCATAAATTCACTAGACTCCTTACCACCTCAGGGCCTTTGTACAAGCTGTTCCCTCAGCCTACATTGCTCTCCTCCTAGACCTTGCAATAATGGATTCCTTCACTTCGTTCAGGTCTCAGCTCAAATGCCTCCGCCTCAAGGAGGCTTTCCTTGACCACTCTGTCTAAAATAGACCTTCACTCACCCCAGTCATGCTCCAACTCTACTCCGTTGTTTTTTTTTTTTCTTTGTAGCACTTACTTTCAAAAATTGCCTTGTTTGCTTATCTGAGTATTTGACTGTTGTCTATCTCTCCCACTAGAATGTATACTAGAATGCACACTGCTCCTGTTCCCTGAACCCAGAGAGAGTGCACACTTAATAAGTACTCGCTGCTAGGGGCACCTGGCTGGCTCAGTTGGTGGAGTGTGCGACTCTTGATCTCAGGGTTGTGAGATCAAGCCCCACGCTGGGTGTAGTGGTTACTTAAAAATAAAAAATTCTTAAAAAAAAAAAAAAAAGTAAGCACTTGCTGCTAAATGACCATCTCAATTTTTTTTTAACGCTTATTTATTTTGAGAGAGAGAGACAGACCGACAGAGTGCGAGTGGGGAAGGGGCAGCGAAAGGGAGCCGCAGAATCCAAAGCAGCCTCCAGGCTCTGAGCCGTCAGCACAGAGCCGGATGTGGGGCTCGAACTCACCCACTGTGAGATCATGATCTGAGCCGGAGTCGGACACTCAACAGACTGAGCCACCCAGGCGCCCCTTTTTTATAAATTTTTTTAATGCTTATTTATTTTGAGAGAGACAGACTGACAGAGTGCGAGTGGGGAAGAGCTAAATGACCATTGAATCACTGGCTCTGAGCAGATGCTGGTGGGCATTTGCTGAATGACTGAATGAAGGGTGAGCCCCACCTTGAGAAGGGGCTTGTCTCCTCAGACATTTCAGACCTGTTCTCGGAGCACCACATCTTGGACCGCGTGGCCGGGATTCCTGTGACAGGGGCTGCAGGTGAAGGCGTCACCATCCTGGACCACCTGCCCTTTGTAAGAGAAGGCCTCTCCAAGAAGAGCAGTGGGCTTGATCTGTCACTGGTCGGGGACCTGCTCTCGGGGAAGCGCCTCCCACTGCTGGAGAAGCTGCTCCAGGTGGGCGGGTGAGTCCGCAGAAGCTGCCTCTGGCCTTTCTTCCCCCTTCAGCCTCCGCCCCTGAGCCATAATGTTCTCCTGTATCAAGAAGAGGACTGGGCAGGTGGGAGGCCCGGAGGCTCCCTATAGCCTGGAAAATGCACAGCAAGTGCACCTTTATTGTTCTAAATCTCTCCAAGCTACCTAGAATCGTCCAAAGCAGGGTCTAAATCAAGGATCTCCACCTAGCAGCCCTCCAGACCCCCACATTCAGCCTACACCTGGGTACTGCAAATTTGCATGGTGTTTTTTTTTTTAATATCTTAACTTTAAAAAGTTAAAAATGTTGTAATGAATTGCCAATATTTAAAAATCAAGAGGGTTTTAATCAAAATCAAGGTTTTCTGATTGTATGGTTTGTTAGGACTGCTGTAACAAAGGACCACAAGCTGTGGCTTAAACAACAGGAATTTGTTGTGTCACAGTCCTGGAGGCTGGAAGTCCAAACTGAAGGTGTGGACACAGCTGCTTCCTTCTAAGGGCCATGAGGATCTCTTTTCCACGCCTCTCTCCCAGTCTGGGTGGTTTGCTGACGATTCCAGTGGGCACCAGATGAGTCACTAACTTGTATTTGATGTTTAAAAAGTACTCTGGGCCCTTCTCAGCTCAGGGAGATGCTGGGACCTGATGTCACTGAGGGGAGAAGAAGGCTCATGTCCTCCCTCCTGAATGCTCAGCAGGGCAGATGGTCCCTCAGTGGATGGTGGCGAGATCACCTGCCATCTTGCTTTCTGAGTCTTGCCTGCTTGCTTCTCTTTTGCAGAATGCTTATACTTGAACTCAGGCAGCCTCACTGCACATAGACAGCCCCTCCACTGCATTCTCCCCATTTTGTAGAGGGTGATACTGAGGCCCACAGAAGGGAAGAGACTCAACCAGGTCTTCAAGACGTGGAGGCTGGAACTACAGCCCCATTGTTCTCCAGCTGGACTGGGATCAGGGACGGGGGTGTCCCAAACCTGCTCCTGCTCCTCCTGGGGTCCATCCCTATTCCAGCCAACCCAGATACACACACTCTACAGAACCACAGCGGCCTTAGCAGACCACACCAACACCCCCCAAACCTCTCACAGGCTGGTCATAGAAGATGCCGTGGGACCAGAGATCACCCTGCAAATCCTAAGCAACAGCCTGCTGCAGGTCACGTTGCGAACCAAACTGTACCTCTCGCTCCAGCAGTAAGTACACCGGGCACTTCCTCCCCACCCCCCTCAGTGCCAGGCAGGCCAACCCCTCGTTGCTATGACTCAAGAGGCAGCCACGCAGGGCTAGCAAAGGCCTCCTGCCTCTGCCGCCATAAGCCTCATAATAATCCTTTCCACTTGGGCTTGTTTCAAAGCCATTTTCACTGATGGGGAAACTGAGGCACAGAGTGGCAGAAGGACCGACCCAGGATAACACAGTGAGTCAGAAGCAGAGACCGAAATAAAACCCTTGGACTGCCAAGTCAGGGAATATGTGTCCCATCTGAGTAAAATGCAGATGCATTGACAGCATGATCTGAGGAGGGTCTGATTCAAGCCCCGCCACCCTCACCTCCAGAGTATGGCATAACTGCACTCCACTCCTACTCACCATCTAAGCAACTTGAGCAAGGGCATCTGTTCCCTGGGCCTCAGTTTCCTCATCTACAAGACGGGTATGATCAAGTATGCTCCTACCCTTGGCTGTTGTGAGAGTTCACTGCCGACCTGAGAGCTTGGATATCTCACTAAGGTGTGGGTGATCATGCCGACCTGGGGTTGCAAACCGTGGGCAACAGAGGGAGTGCTACGGGTGGTATCTGCACGTGAAACAAATATTCCTTTTTTTTTTCCAGAGAGAGAGAGAGAGCACAGGAGAGAGGGAGAGGGGCAGAGTAAGAGAGAGAGAGAAAGAGAGAGAGAGAGAGAGAGAGAGAGAGAGAGAGAGAGAGAGAGAGAATCCCAAGCAGTCTCCACACTGTCAGGGCAGAGCCAGACATGGGGCTCAATCCCACAACCCTGGGATCATGACCTGAGCCAAAATCTAGAATCAGATGCTCAGCTGACTCAGCCACCCAGGATCCCCAAAACAAATATTCTTAAAAGCCCCTTAGGAATATGTCCACTGTTGGCTTTCTTTAAAATATGGCCTTCTTGGTCTACCTTCCCTTTTTAATAGAGATGTGAGCACAGAGGAATATTTCTTTGGTAGAGAAGTGAGCACAGAGGAATGTTTCTTTGGCAGAGAAGTGGGCACAGAGAAATATTTCTCTCCTATACAATAAACGTATCATCGCCCTTATAGTGATGTGCAGTAAAAACACAACCTAACTCTTGGCCTCGTGGAGACTGTAGCACTTGGAGCACCTGTGCCCCCTGTCAAGGTCACCTTCAGCCCCAGGTGATTGTCCTGCTGGCTGCTGTTTTCGAATCTTTCAGGTTTTCCGAAGTGAGAGATCCATATGTTTAATGACGTCTCCTAGTTTTTCATTTGAGCCCCGCAGGCAGCAGCAGGCCACCAGCCTGTGACTTCTGGCCTCCACGTCAGGTGGTGGCTTGGCACCTGCCTAGACCTGCTGCCCCTACAGGATACTGCGGCTCAAAGTCATCAAGAACATCCGCATTGGGATACGGCTGGAACAGATGGGGAACAAGACCAAGGTGGCCTTCGAGGAGTGCCACACCCCACCAGGATACCTCAGCATCAAGGTTCTGGAGCAGTGAGTACCTGCCCACACCTGCACTACCACTGGCCAGGAGGGAGTGCCAGGACTTCCCGCCCTTCATGCAGACTCCCTGTGGGGGCTGCTTTTCCCCAGCCTAGTTCTCTGGGTGACCAAGGGCATCAGGAACAGGGTCATCTGCAAGGCTCCGAGCTGCACACACCATCCATCAGCATTTCCTCTCTCCACACTGAATGTCATGGCTGAGAGTGGGCATCCAACCAGGTCAAACCTCAGCTTGGCTGCTTCCTAACTCGGGGACCCTGAACAAGCTATATGACTTTTAGAGCCTGTTTCCTCACCAGTAAAATGAAATTGTCCACAGAATCCAGCCAGCAGGGGGTGGGGGTGAGGAAAACATGAGCTGATCTATGTGCTGAGGTAACCTTAGCACAAAACCACCTCCTCCAGGAAGTTTTCCATGACTCTCCCTCCTCAAAAATCCCAGAGACCTTTATCAGAGAGGAAATGAAGAGACAGAGGCAGAGAGGGACAATAAGGAAAAAGTAAAGACGAGGAAGTCATGGAGAGAGAAAGCAAGGAGGCAAGAGAGGGATAAAACAGAAAAAGAAAGGGTGGGGTTGGGGAAGGAGAAGAGAGACACCAAGTGGGGAAGGAGGCAGCCACTCTATGTTACACTCCATGTTACACAAGCCCATCGGCCCTGCCCTGGATTCCCGCCTCTGGCCTCAGTCTCCCCTTCCATGGTGTCTCAGATCCCACCTGCTCTCCCCCACCACTAGAATGGACCCGCTCCTGGCGAACGGAGCTCTGGAGTTGGTGACGAGTACCCTAGATAAGGCACTGCCCTTCCTCCTACAGAAGATAGTAAGTTGTTTGCCCTCGTCTGCCTCCTGGGAGAGGGGTGTGACCCCAAGAGAGAGCCTCTCAACTTGACAAGGACCCCATCGTGCCTTCCCTGCAGGTGTGCCCCCTGGCCACGACCCTGCTCAACTCACTGCTGGAAGACCTGCTACACCTCACTCTGCGTACGTAGAGTGGCCGAGAAAGCGGCTTAACTTCCATCCCCCTAACTGTGTGCCAGGAACCGTTCTGGGCTCTGAGAACAGGACAGGAAACCAAACAAAGCCTAGCTGCAGGGAGCCTACTTTTCAGTGAGGGAGAAAAAGGGCACTGTGCCTCATGACCTGGGCAAGTCATTTTCCCCCAGAGCCTCAGTTTCCCAACCTGTAAAGTGGGACTAATCCTAGACCCACAGAGTGGACTGCTGCAATAATACATATAACCCGGCACAAAGTTACCGCTCAATAAATGTTCACTGTTACAAGAGGCACAGGCCTAGCCCACAAGAACTTAAAGCTGAGCAGAGAAGTTCAATTTCTGCCTGCTTCACTGCCTCTCCACACCGTTTCACCCTCCCGCAGGGCAAGCGGGGTCCTACTTTCATTTTCCCATTGCAGCCCCGACCATCTCAAGCCCAGAAGACTTCCAGTACTACGTCACCACCACGGAGTTCACGGAGGAGGCCATCCTGATGAAAGTCCAGGCGAGCCAGCACCCTGGCTAGGGCAGACCCTCCCGGGACACCCACTGGCCTAGGGGAGGATGGGCAAAGAGGAAAGTGAGATGGCCTTCTCTGGATGGGAGGCATACAGAGAGGCCACAGGTAAGGGTGGTAGGCAAAAGAGGAGAAGGAGAGGGAAGGAGGGAGAAAGAAGGGGAGAGCTGGTGGACCCCTGCCCTCGGGAGCTTGTGCTGAGGCCCACTTGAACCCTGGAGAGCAAGAGAGGCCATGAGGCTACAGGTGCTGTGAGTGGGGATGAGACTCCAACAAAAGGGTAAGTGGGGCAGTTCGTGGGTGCAGAATTATATGCAACACCCAGCTGGAAGAGATCCCTCAGACGGGGAAACCGAGGCCCAGAGAAGGGCCTGTCAGAGGTAGGTCAGGTGGACAGGAAGGATTTGAGTGGATAGGAAGGAGGTGCTGTTAACAAAGGCACAGAGAAGGGAATGGGGTCAGAAGAGGGAGAAGCGAAAAATAGGAGCTCGTGTGTTCAAAATGTAGCTCTACCTACCGTCTGTAGGACATTGAGTAAGTCATTTCACCCCTCTGGGCTTCAGTTTCCCCACCTGTCTAATGGGGACAGTAATAGTTCCCATCTCACGGCACTGCTGTAAGGTCGAAATGAGATTGTGCACATAAGTGTTCAGCACTGCCTAGCACATAGTGAGCCTGTGGTATCAGTTATAGCTATAATCGGTTGTTGGTCAGAGAAGCTGTTCGCACTGAATTTCTCCTTCCTCCCTCCTTTTTCTGAAGCTTGTGACGCCCTGCAGCCCAGGCCAGAGACCCCGAAGGCCTGACCACCTGACCCCCCAACCCCTTCCAAAATTAGCCCAAGGCAGCATGGCAGACCTCGCTTTTGGGCTAGAAGTCTACAATGACATCCTGTCCTGCCTCTACACCAGCAAGGAGATCCACGTGGACCCCCAGGACTCCAAAGTGAGTGCTCAAGAAAGGGGAGTATATAACTTTATTGCTTTGCTTTTTCACATGAAGAAACCAAGATCCAGCTGGCAGAAGTGCCTTTCTGGGGGACCTAGGTAAGTCACTTCCTCTCTCTGGACCTCCCTGGAAAACTCCTCTTCAGCCCTCAGAACCCAGCATGGAAATCCCCTCCTCTAGGAAGACTTCCTTGAACACCCAGGTCCCTTTATTGCTCCTCTCTTCATAACACTTATCCATTCACTCATGCCACAAATCGCTCTTGAAGGCCTACTATGTGCTAGGCCCTGTGCACCCAACGTCCCTGGCCTTATAAAGCTCAAAGTCAAGTGGGAGAATAGAAACTGAACAAGAAAACAGTCAGATAAATAAAATAATTTATCTTGTTTATAATAAGAGCACTGGGTCAGCAAGCGACTAGTGGAAATGACAGGGCTACCCTGGATACTCTAGTCAGTAAAGACATCTATGAGGAGGTGGCCCGAATGGTGACAAGGAGGCATACACATAGAGATCTGCAATAAGAGCAAATGGCCAGGGTCAATGAGGAGACCAATGAGGGGGAAATCCAGATACATCACTGCTTAAAAGCCCCGAGCAGCAACTCAGCACACTCTGAATAACATCCAGTCGCTTCTCTGCAACCCCCTGCCCATTTCTCCAGCTCTGTCCCCTTACCTGCTCCACTCCAACCACACTGGCTGAGCTGGTGCCCACCTCAGGGCCTTTGCACCTGCTGGGCTTGCTGCCTGGAACATTCTTCCTTCCACTGTTGGCCTCAGTGCAAATGTCATCTCCTCAGAGAGCCCCTCCTTGACCACCACATCTAAATATGCAGAATAGGCCTTCCCCCTCCTCGCCCCACTTCCCCTCTCTTTCTGTGCTTTTCCCTTCAAAACGCTGATCACACTGGGCATGTGTATGAGTAAAGTTACACATGCAAAGTCATATGTTGACAAATACACACACATGTGTTTGTTTATTTAACTTTGTGTGTACACTGCCTCCCCCATTCGAGGACACGGACTACAGATGGTGAACATGTCTACAGCATGCAGTGGGTGCTCCATAAACACTGAAACACAAAACCCTAAGATCTGTGTCTAGAAGAGATCTAATGCTACTGCTCCATTTTTTTACATGAGGAAACCAGGGCCCAGATAGAGAAAGAGACTTGCCCAAGATGACCCAGCAGTGGGATCAGGAGTAGAGCCAGGTGTCCCCACGCTGGGGAGACAGTTGTAAGTGAGCACTGAGACAATTGTAGGTGAGCATTGTAATTCCATGCCCACAGGAATTCTTACCCCAGTGGGCAAGGGTACATATGCAAGGGTGCCCTTTGTAGCTTCACTTGGGATAGGGCAAAAAATAAAGTTAACCTAGGTGTTCATCAATGACAAATTGGTAAAAAGGGGTCTGGTTATGGTCATACAGGGTGGAATACTATGCAGCTGTCAAAAAGAATGGCGTTGGTGGAATGCAAACTGGGGCAGCCACTCTGGAAAACAGTATGGAGGTTCCTCAAAAAATTAAAAATAGAACTATCCTATGACCCAGCAATTGCACTACTAGGTATTTATCCAAAGAATACAGTGTGCCGCTTTGAAGGGGCACATGCACCCCAATGTTTATAGCAGTGCTGTTGACAATAGCCAAAGTATGGAAAGGGCCCAAGTGTCCATCGACAGATGAATGGTTAAAGAAGATGTGGTGTGTATATATATATATATATATATATATATATATATATATATATACATACATACATACATACATACAATGGAGTATTGCTCGGTAATCAAAAAGGATGAAATCTTTCCATTTGCAACTACGTGGATAGAACCGGAGGTATTATGCTAAGCGAAATTAGTCAGAAAAAGACAAATATCCTGACTTCACTCATATGTGGAATTTAAGATACAAAACAGATGAACACAAGGGAAAGGAAGCAAAAATAATATAAAAACAGGAGGGGAGGGGCACCTGGGTGGCGCAGTCGGTTAAGCATCCGACTTCAGCCAGGTCACGATCTCGCGGTCCGTGAGTTCGAGCCCCGCGTCGGGCTCTGGGCTGATGGCTCAGAGCCTGGAGCCTGTTTCAGATTCTGTGTCTCCCTCTCTCTCTGCCCCTCCCCCGTTCATGCTCTGTCTCTCTCTGTCCCAAAAATAAATAAACGTTGAAAAAAAAAAAAAAACAGGAGGGGAGACAAAACATAAGAGACTCTTAAATATAGAGAACAAACTGAGGGTTGCTGGAGGTTGTGGGGCGGGATGGGCTAAATGGGCAAGGGGCATTAAGGAAGACACTTGCTGGGATGAGCCTTGGGTGTTATACATAGGGGATGAATCACTATTCTATTCCTGAAATCATTATTGCACTAGATGCTAACTAACTTAGATGTAAATTAAAAAATAAAAATAAAAATACAAGTAAAGAATTCAGGGGGAAAAAAAGAATGGGGTTGGTTCTATATGTACTGATACTGAGAGAAAAAAAATAAGGTGCAGGACTGCACGGTGAGAATATTCTCTACTATGCATGTTTATATGTGTGTAGAAAACAGGATGTACTCCCAAATGCCAACAGTGGTTACCCCTGAAAATAGGATTGGAGGAAAAGGGGAAGAGGTGTTGGTGTAGACTTGTCCCCTTTATACGTTTTTGTACTGCTTTCCATCATGATTTATGATTTTCAGGAACCAATGGAGTATGGCTGGATGGATAGAAATATAATGAAGCAGGTATAGGAAAATGTTAACTGAAGAATCTAGTTGATAAGTATACAAATGTTGAAATTCTTTCAACTCTGCTGCACGTGCGGAAATTTTCACAGTAAAACATGGAAAGGGAAAATCACTGAAACAATAAAGTTAACTTTTCTGGATAAATCATGGTGAGAAACCAGGTGGAAGTCTCCTCCGATGTCGACGTCGACTACGTGCAGGTAGTGCATTCAGCTGGAAGCAATTACACCTCAATGAACCCCAATGACACCCCTGAAACTGCTCAGAACAGAGCTACGGGATTCTAAAGGCCAACACGCGGTTTGCCCTTTTTCCAGGCTGCCGACCTCATTGCACTGTTGTCACTGAGAGAGCTGGAGCGGGAGCCCAAGGTGGGTGTGTCACCAGCTTCCCCTCCCGCACCAGGGCCAGGATCTCAGGAAAGAGTCTGGGATGGGGGCAGGATTGGGCCACGTAAGCATGTTCCATCTGGCCAGAGTTTCCTACTGTGGACTCCAAAAACCACTGCACCTATTCCACTGGTGCTGTGAGGGTCGGGGGGGTTGGTTCAAGTAAGGCACTTAGCTCATCGCCCCGCCCAGGTGCCCATGGCCAGGAGGCTGGCGTTATGACTCACTACTGAACGGGCCCCTGCCCCTGCTAAGGCAGCCAGATGTGCACACGGAGATAACAGCGAGCAGTGACTATGTGCCAGGCTCCTCCACCTGCGTCAACATAATCCTCAGATACCCCGCACTTCAGCCCATTTTCCTATGTGAGCAAACTGAGGCACAGAAAGGTGAATCCAGTTGCTCAAGCTCATATCACTCAGTCAGTGGCAGAAACAGGATTTGAAGCCAGTCCTGGACTCCAAAATCCATTCTCAGTGTCCTTTCTCCAAAGGCTCTTAGAACATGGCATCGGATGAACAAACAGTAATAGAAAACAACAGCATTACTAGGTGCTGGGCTCTATTCTAAGTACTCCACATGAATGAATTCATCTAATCCCCACAACAACCTTGTAGAGTAGGAATGATTATTCTCATTTACCAACTAGGAAAACAGAGAGATTAAGAGACTTGTCTCAGGCCACACAGCTTACAAGCGGTGGAGCTGGGATTCTTGCTCCAACATTTATGTTCTTACCTGCCATGCACGCCCAGGAAGCAGAGGATGTAATCTCACCTTAAAGGAGCTCAAGGAGGTTAAGTACACTTCCCAAGGTCAAGGTCGTGCAGCAAGTTGCTGCAGAGCTAGAATGAAACTTCAGACACCCTGGCTCCTAAGACGATCTTGTTCCCATTCTTCCAAGCCGGGAACTAAGGAACTCCATTCTCTGTACCTGCCTGCACCTTTTCTGCTTTAACCTCATTCAGACTTCCAAGCAATCCGGAGGAAGTGTGAGACTGACCATCAGTACCCCCGACCCTCCCACCGTCCACATTGACGGCCACACAGCCACCGTCACCCAGCCGGGCTCGCTGGTCCTGCTGGGGACCAGCAACACCTCCTCTGTCTCACTTTCCTGGGTGAGTAAGCCTTGAAATTATTTGTTCCTCAGGGGGCCTGGGTCCACTTGGGGGCCCCTCTGGGACCGGGTGACTGAGGCAGCTGCAAAACTCACCATTGTGCCACCTGCTAATATTCGATCGGTCCACACCCAAATAGATGCACCTGTTGTCAAAACATTACAATTAACACTTGCTCCCCTGTGTGGCTTCCAGTGCTCCCCAAAGACCTCCTCAACAACTAAAGGGTTTTGCCTCCAATACCTTCTGCTCAGTGCCTTGTAGGTAGTTGTTAAGTCTTCTGCCTTCCCTGGACGTGGCTGCCTCGAAAGCCCTTGTCTGCAAAACCAGGAGAAAGATCAGAAAAACAGTTCATAAGAGGCTAAACATATCTGTGTTGTCTACTCTATTTCTGGGGAAACACAGCTTCCCCCAAAGTTTCAACTTCTCTCTTCTGAGCCCCCTTGGGATTTCTATTTCCCATTCCACAGACCTTAAAATTGGGAAGGTACCTCAGATATATGGGGGGTGGGGGACCCCCCCCCCAATAGGCAAGCCCAGCAGCATCCAGTACACACACAGGATCCTAGAATCTTAGTTGGCATGACTCTGTGGTCAAGAAATTTGTCATCTCTGACTGGTAGTGAGAAGAACTATTTCCGGTCTACAAGGTGACTGTGTGACTTATGAAGGCCAATAGACAACCCCCTCAAAACCAAGGAGTCCTCTGGCTTCCAGCAACAGTGATTCAATGGCCAAGTGACTCATTGCAAAAGGCTTTCCCTTCCCTGGGCTGAGCCTCCCTGCGTTGTGCCCAGCCCCAACCTCCCCTGGCCTCCAGGAAGACCTGACACCATGAGTGCCCTCTCCCACAGCACCACCCACACACATGGTCTGAACACACATGACCAGCATCTGGGGCAGCAGGGAAAGGACCGGTGAGAGGGGCCAGCCCTGGACAAGCATTCACGGGAGTTGGGGTGAAGGGTATCCCTCTGGCTGGAACATAATTTCCTCTCCTCTTCTGACTTAATTTCAACTCCCATAGGATCTCCTTTCAAAGGCTGTGTTTTCCTCGAGAAATCAGGAATTAAAACTCCAGTTCACTCCAAGCAGGTAATGTTTTTTTGGTTTTGCATGTTCAGAAGAAATAAGAATGACTGACAGAGAAGTAGGCGGGGGTGGGGGGGTGGTCAAGGGGTGCGTTTCCATGCCTGCTGTCAGCACACGGAGTAGTGGATAAGAGGGAGGGAGGAAAAGAGGGAGGGGGTGTTGTAACTGGAGCTCACTGACCACTGCACCCCCAAACAACTGCTGTGATCTGAAAGGGTGATCTCTTTTCTCTGGTAGCACCACAGTCACCCTGGGCCCTTATCCCGCCGGCCTTGCAAAGCAGGTGAGTCTCTCCTAAACTTTGGCCTCTCCATGGTCCTGAAGGACCCATCAGCAGGCCCAGAAAAAGGCCCTGAGTCACTGATGTAGGAAGTTGAAAGCCTCACTCACTTTCTATCACTGATCTCATCTTGCCCTGGAGTCCCCACACCCCCTGGGGTCAGGGGAGCCCCCAGAACTTAAACTTGTCCACTTCATTCTTTCAAACACTTAACAAATACCTACTGAGCACCTATAATGTGCCCAGACTTGACTTAGGTACTTGGGATATGTCAGTGAACAAAGCAAAGGACCCTGCCCTCATGGAACGTACATTCTAGCAGGGTGAGGTCAGATAAGGAGCAATGAGCACAGTAAAACTGTAGGGTATGTACGCAAGTGATCATACTGTGGAAAAGAAAAAGTAGGAAGAGGGGATGTGCATCAGGAGCGCAGGTGAAGGTAAAACTAAAAAGGAAGGTTGGGGAAGGCCTCACTGAGAAGGTAAGTGTTTGAGAAAAGACTGGAGGAGGTGAGGGAGAGCGCTGTGGGGACATGGGAAAGAGGGGCCCCAAGGCCCCAAGGCCCCAAGGCAGAGAGGGGTGTGCCCATGGTTCAGGGGACAACGAGGGGGCCAGGGTAGCTGGATCAGAGGGATTGAGGGGAGGTTGTAGAGTGAGTAGAGCCTACTAGTGGGAAGCTGGCTCTTCCAGAGTGAGATAAAAACTGATGGAACACAGAAGGAGCAGTCTGGAGGGGACTGGAGTGGAGGCAGGCAGACCATTGAGCAGGCTGGTAGAACAATGCAGAGGCTTGATGAGGCAGGTGGCAGCCAGGGGACTGGCCGGGTGCAGGACATATTCCCGATAGGACTTCCTGCTGGAGTAGATGTGGGAAAGGACTGAGAGAGGTATCCAGGATGATGCCCAGATTTTTAAGGGCACCTCCTCCTCTATAGGATGAAAACAGCCTCCTTTGGGAGAACATTCCATTTGCACCCCCAACATGGCTGTGTGTCTCCTCTCTGGGTTTCTACTCCCCTGGGATTCCCAGCATAGCATCCTGAGCCACCTGTGCCACCTGGGTCCCCATGTAGCAGTGAGGGGTTTCTGCTATAGTGTGACGTGTCTGGGCCCTCCCTAGCCTTGGGGCACTGGTTCCACCATCGTTTGCTTCCACAAGACTGTGAACCTCATGGGCCAGCCCTTAGTGGGGGAAGGCTGCAAGATGGAAAAACAACAAAATGAAAGGGCTAAACATGTATCGGGAAACACTTCAGAATGATTAGCCCTGCTATATTAGGCCTTGCTCTGGCCTTACTTGCATAGAATCCCAGCCTTGAAAGGTCCTGAAGATCATCTTCCCATGTCAGGGATCCCTTCTGTGACATCATCAGAGGGCAGTTATCCAGACCAGGGCTGCTGTGTATGGTTGCACAGGTTGTGCAGTGTACAAGCCACCCACATCATAGATAATTATGAATATGTTTATAACAGTGTCCCAATACATGGGGAAAGAGTCTTAAAGAAAGGGAGTCCTTTTCCAATCTCTCCAAATGGGTTGGAGCAGCTCTGATCAACCTCTTGAACTGCATGAACATCCCTAGTAACAGGAGGTTTGCTATCTCAGTGAGACAATTCCTGCCCCATCACCAGGCAGGTCTCAGCATTGGAGAGCTCCTCTTTGGACGGACCCAAAGTTGGTACCTGTGAAGCCTGGCCGTGGGTTTCCTCTGGCTCAACCTATTTCCTCTTCCCCTGGGCTATCCTGCAGAGATATGAAGACAGTCCCAGTGACCTAGGGTGAGGGTAACTCTTTTTCAGGCTCCTCAACTTTCCCTAGGCCCTTCAGTATCTGGTCATCTGGCCCCAGTGCCCTTTAAAAATGGAGTCCCCTGGACTACTCCTGATCTCTTGTGGGCACCTGTACACTGGAGGTGCCCCATTCCCATGGTCAGAATCTGCCAGCCCAGCCGAAGTGACCTTCCTGTTTTTTTTTCATCTGTTGTAGGAAAAACGTATGGAGGCCTTTCTCTTAGAGCTTCTGAACAGGGTATTTTTGCCCCATCACAACGGTGAGCCCCACTGGGTTTCTTCTCATGCCCATACACCATGCGGCCTGGAGCTGCATCACCTGTGTCTAGAACTCTGCGCAGACAGCTGGCTTCTGCCTTGTCCCCTGGGGTTGGCTAAGAACTGTGCTTGGGCAAGGTAGATGGAGGCAGGGTAGAGACTGAAATTTGGAATGTGGCCAATGGGGGTGCCGGAAAGGGCCCGGGTGTGCTCCCCCCCATTCTCTGCCAGCTAGTGTACCTTGCGTGGACCCTTCTAGTACATGCAAGGTAACCAGTTCGGACCTTACGCACTTCTGAGAAATCACCCGGCTCAGCCTCCTTTTTTGCATTTGGGTTCAGTAGAGTAAAATGACTTTCCCAAGGTCACACAGCAAGTCTCTGGCAGAGCTGAGCCCAGAACTCTGGCATTTCATCTCCTTTCCAGGGGCTTCTCTCTATGCTCCAACTTGAGGAGTTATGTCAGGACTCCAGAGTGAGGCTAGAGGGCGAGGCTAGAGGAGCTCAAATGCTGGCTGGGCTGAAGGGTTTCGCATCATTCTGTGACCTGTGATAGCCAGGGAAAGTTCTGGGCATAAAGTGAGTAAATCTGTGCTCAAGAAGGGAGACCTATTAGAGGTGAGGAACAGCGGTAATGAAAGGCCCGACAAGGCAGGCAGAAAAAGAGTCCAGGTGGGCAAGGATGCAACCTCACCTAGCCAGTGCCTACCACCGGCAGTTTATTCAATAAGTGTATCTTCGTCCTGGACCAAAGAGACCTATGGCGAGCATCAAGATGACCCAGGAGCTAAGTCTGGTTCAAGAAGCCTATATAGTCTTGCAGAATCTGAACATCCAGGCCTTGTGTGTTGCACAATGCCAGGGTGCCATTCACACTGGGGTCCTGTCCAAACCTCCCCCACAAGGCAAAAAGGAGCAGGGCCAAACCCACTCAGGAAATACAGGAAAACTGGCTGCAAGAAGCAGCCTGAGGATAAGAGAATTGGCAGAGGAAAGATTCACAAAAGCCTGTGCCACAGTCAGGATCATCTGGTCCCAACACAGACAGGATTGAAATGAGGAGGCGTCCAGAGGCTGGGAGCTGGGAGGCTGATGAGAAGGCATCTGCAGATCAGGGAACAGAAAGGACACCAGAGGCACCTGTCTCTCTTCCTCCATCCTGCTCCCCACCTAACTGGGCTGGAATACACATTGGGCCAGCAAGGGCCCCAGAGTGATGATGGGGGGCTGAGATAAGGGCTGGTCAGTGCAAAGGAGGGGGAAGGAGGGGCCCACGCCAGGCTCTCAAGTCAGAAACTCAGAAACTCAACAGGCCAAATGGTTAGTTCTTTGAAACTCAATTTGCAAAATTCTCCAACTTTACCATTTACCAACTTACCAAAAACTTACTCTAAGGACTATCTTTCATATATTTAATAAATGAGTATATTCATGAATATTTTCTTTGATATATTTAATGGATATTTTCTTATCATACAACCAAATCCCTAGTGTTTTAAGGTTGATTTTTCAGTTTATACTGACTTGTTTCTAACCTTTTTCTGAGACATTTTCTGTTTCTGCCAACATTTTAGCATTTTTAGGAGGACAAACATTGTTTCAGCAATGTTCCTCAATTAAACAAGAATGAAATTCACTAAGACGTTCCTAAGATGCCTCAACAAACCGCACATTCCTTAAAATGCTGCTAAGAAGCCTATCTTCATAAGAATGTGTTCATAGTTCCTGGATATATTCTAGAAGAAATTCTCTCAAGATAGATTTTTAATGAATGGGTAGAAAAGCTATTTAGGGACCCGGTTTTCTAGAGTGGGGTTGCCTGAGAGAGGATGATGTCCCCTGAGGAAGGAGAGGAGAAAGAGGATACGCCAAGTCCTTTCCCTGTTCTGAACAGTGGAGCAGCCAGGGGTCAGCTGGCCCGGGCCCTCCCCGCCCTTGCCCTGCACCCACAGACACCTCTGCTTGCCAGGGCACTGAGCTCCCCTACCCATACCTCTCACAGAGCTGCTCAGAGAACAAGACCTCCTGCTGCCCAACGTCAAGGGCATCTCCTTCGACCAGGCCCAAGTGGAGCCCTCCAAGGTAAATGCTGAGAAAAAGAGCTTCCTGAGACAGCTGGGGGAGGTCAGAGCTAGAAGGGTCTTGGAGCCCTACAGGTGCTTTGTCCCCATCCTGCAGGGGCAGAAGCTGAGGCTCAGGCAGAGGAGGCACTCAATGAGGCAAGCCTTCTACCTCCCTTATCTCACCCTCTCATAGCCATCCTGGATGTGATGCCCCATATACAGATAAGGAAACTGAGGCCCCAAGGGGCTCCATGAATCCCTCAGGGAGCCAAGCCCTAGGTATCCTGAGAGCTTCAATGCCTCACATAGGTGGTCTTCACAATTAGTTCCATGAAGTCGATGCTATGATTTCTCCCATTTTACAAGAGAGGGAACTAAAGCTCAGAAAGGCAAAGAAACTTGCCTAGGGCGGGAGAGCCAGGGTTCCAACCAGGGTTTATCTGATTTCAAAGCCTTTACCCTTAGCCAGGACCACCTACCACCCTAGGGCTCAGGTGGCCTAACCCCCAGAAAAGGGCTGTTGCCGCTGGCACCTGCTCTCTGTGAACTGCCAGAGGGTGGGAACCTGGGCCAGCACGAGGCTGGCTAAATGCCAGGGAGGTAAGATGGGGCCACAGACCAGAGGGCTGAGAAAACCAGCAGAGGAACCACAGACGTGCTGCCGAGGGGGGTTGCCAGCTCTGAGTCTGCCCCAGGGGTCACCCTGCCTCCTTGGCACTCGCCCCTTCCCTCTGCAAGGCGAACCTGAGAAGAGGCAGATGGGGTTGGTGGGAAGGGGCAGAGCTTAGAGATGCCCTTCATTTCTTTGTTTCTTTGTTTCTTTGTTTCCCACCTGCTCTAACCCCTTGTCCAGTCTGTCCCTGACTCTGCCTTCTTGCCAACAGGGAAATTTGTGTCCTTAGGATACATAGAACCCCTCCCAAGATAGCTTGAGCCACCTCAGGGAGAGCCGGGCAGTGAGGACAGGTAGGATACCCCTCCCTGCTTCTACCCACAGGGTTATGTGCTGCTGACTGTTCCAGACGAATAGCTGGTTCTTACCGAGGGCCAGTCCCTCTCCTCAGCCACAAGTGCTCTGGACCCTTGAGAGTACAAGAATGGCTGCTGTCACAATGGAAAATCTCAGCTGCAATAAAGATGATTCTTGCTTGAGAAAGAGTCTGGTTCTGAGTTTGCTACGGGGTTCTAGGAGATGGCAAGGCCCCCCCCCCCCGAAATGCTTAATGGAAAGGTTTTTCTCCCTGATAGTTCCTGTGTTCCCTTGGCCCCTCAGAGAGAGATTCTGAATTCTGTATTCAGCATCTCAGGGAAGAGAGGCTCCTCAGAAAACAGAGAGGGCCTTAGCTTCAAGAGCCCACGCCCTGAGACGATGGGACATAGAAAGAACACAGGGAATTTTCACATACAAGGGTTCCCTGCTCGAGAGGGAAGAAGAGGAAGGAAGCAGAAGTTTTGATGTCCCTAAGAAAGAGGGGACTCCAGGAGCCCAGAGATATTTGGGAGGCCCTGAGTGTGGAGGCAAGGGGTTAAGGGAAGAAGCCGCACCCCTAAGGGTAGAGCCAGATCCAGGAGGCTGATTATGATACCACAGAGCTCCCCTGGCCCTGAAAGGTGTGACAGGCAGGAGAGTGGTTGACATGTGCCCAAGAGCAGTGCCATCGAGGGAGAGAGTGAGGAGAACCCTCCCCATCAACATCCAGTCCCATGTGGCCCAGGCAGGGCAGGGTGGTGAGCAGAGAAAGCCTGGGTACCAGAGGGCTTTGCAGTCAGAAATGTGAATAGTTCCATGGTTGCCAAGGTCACAAAGCGGGAAAAGGCCTCTTCTCACACCTGGGCACCTGCCAAAGCCCATGGCAAGTTAAGTCTGCCCCCAGACAAAGGCAGATGAGGAGAAACTTTGGATTGTGATAAAATCCCTATCACAGGCAGGTCTCTGTCTTGGGAGGGAACAAGTGACCAGCAGCCCAGTAACCTCAGCTGGCCTCTGGCAACTGGATGGCCGGTGGGGAGGCCCTCCTGGAGGCCAGTTCTCTGCCTACATCCCAAACCATTGAGCAGGCCTCGTGGGTCAGGTGCAGGATCCCTGTGCTGTGGTGGGAGGATGGAGCCCAGACCAAACCTTGCTGTGAGTTCCTTACCTAACTCCCCACCTGTTTTACAAATATGAACCATAAGCCCAGCCTTGAAGGAAATAAGTGTCCCAAAAACATCCCTCAGACAAGTCCTTGGGCAAGATGGCAGGACCGCCCTGCACTGTGGCCTTGCAAAGTCTCCCAGCCCTTGGTGTATATAGGATAACTTAAGATAAGGTGGAGGCTGGGAGACACTTTCCCAGAGGACAGTTGAATCCTAAGGCCAGAATTTCCCACCGTGTGTGAGCACACTGCCTGGTGCATGGCACATACATAGTAGGTACAAAATGATGGAATGGAGACATCCTCAGGACCTTGAAGAAAGCTAGGCAGAAGGAGCAATCCAGGCAGGAGAGGCATGAGACAGCCTGTCCTACCATGGAAGCCCCTCATTCCTCTCCCATGACTTTAACAGGTACATCTCATTTTACAGTCTTGCAGGCACGGACAACTATTATCCCATTAGATTCTTACAATCACATTGAATGGCACTGGATGGGGGGTGCAATTACCTGCCTTTGCCCAGGCAGGGTTGCCCACACCATTTCTGGTGCTAGAAGTCAGTGCACTGGCTCCAAAGACCACCATCCTTCTCCCTCCACCCCAGATGGTCTCTCTTTGCCCACACGTCCATCCCAAGCCTCTTAGCTCAGCTGGGGAGCAAACAGCCCAAAACACCTCTCCCCAAGGGGCGTCTGGCTGGTTAGGTCAGTTAAGCATCCGACTTTGATTTTGGCTCAGGTTATGATCGAATGGTTGGTGAGACTGAGTGCCATGCCGTGGGGCTCTGGGCTGACAGTGGAGCCTGCTTGAGATTCTCTCTCTCTCCCACTTTCTCTGCCTCTTCCGAGTGCACTCTCTCTCTCTCTCTCTCTCTGTCTCAAAATAAATAAATAAACTTAAAAAAAAAAAAAAAAAAAACTACCTCTCTCATTCACCTGCTCTGGTGGACTAAAGTCTTCCCCAGTAGCATCACTCCTGAAGATCTTTTTTAAGAAAATAAGTTTCCTTATTTTATTCCTCAAATAAAAGTTTACCTGACACATAAGACAGATGACAAGAGAGGTGCTCTGATTAGAATGAGGCTGGGGGCTAAAGTTCTGGCCCTCTAGTTCTACCTTCTAACAGCAGGCACCTCTAAGGAAACTATGCTCCGTGGAGTTAAGGCACTGAGTTACCCAGGAGGGAGGCCCCAGTGCATGAGCCATCAAAAAACAAGGAGCAGAAAACAAACAAACAAACAAACAAACAAAACAAAAAAAAAAAAAAAACAAAAACCAAGGAGCAGAGCGCTAAGAGAACTGAACACAGGATGATTGGGTTTTGACAGCTAGGATAGTAACCGAAAGAATGGGGGAGGGGCATCAAGCTGGCTGAAGTGGTTGAGCTTGCTTCTACGCTGCTCCCCTCTAGATCTCCGGGTTGTGAGTTCGAGCTCCATGTTGGGTGTAGAGATTACTTAACAAAATGAATGCAGGGAAATTCATCAGAAGAAATAAAGGAGCCCAGAAGGAAGGACACAAAAGGCTCTCACACTTCCCCACCTGCAAAGAGGCAGCACTATCCCCCAGGTGAGGGCTCTGCCTGCTCCACACATAATCCAACACCCAGTCCAGTCCTGTTGTCCTACTTTGTAAATCACTCTCAAATCCACCTGCAATACCACACTGGATAAGGCATCCACCATCTCTCACCTGGATAATTCCAACTGCCTTCTCCCTGGTCTCTTTGCTTCCACTCTGTGCCTCCAGGCTAGACCCCACGTAGCAGCCAGAAGAGACTTCAGAAGATAACCCGAATCATGTCACTCCCTGGTTAAAACCCTCTAACAGCCTCCCATCCATCGTCTTCACCACAGCCCCCAGCCTCTGCCTCCAGTGGTCTCCAGTGGCTTCCCACTGCCCCCATCCCTCCCTAGTCAGTCACACTGGCCTTGACTTGCTCCCCACCAGACTGCTCCCTACCACAGGCTTGCGCAAGCCATTCTCTCTCCATCTTCACCCCACCCTGCATGGGATGTTTTCTTCTCATCCTTTAGATCAACTTAGAAATCATCTCATCTGAGAGGCCCTCCACCACTCCCATCTCAAACCTTCATTTCTTTCAAAACACTTAACACAACTTGTCATTATTTTATTGAATGGTCTGTTTGCTTGTTCTGTGTCTGTCTCTCCGACTACAAATTATAAGGCGAGAGACCATGGCTTGTTGATGCATTCCTGAGCTTGGTACATAGTAGGTGCTTAACAAATATTTGAGGAATACATGGAAGGATGGATGGATGGATGGATGGATGGGAGGAAGGAAGGAAGGAAGGAAGGAAAGGAGGGAGGGAGGGAAGGAAGGAAGGAGTAGAGAGGAGGGAAGGAAAGGAAGGATGTGTGGTAGATGAATGAACCCATCAGTACTAACCCAGACCCTGCTCACATCTGAGGACACACCACCGCTGGAAACCAGACAGAAGGTAGGGCCACGGACTTCAGATTTCCATTTGCATGAAGATATATTCCATGGAGAAATAACCCGTATGTGTTAGAGCAAAGAGCTCTTCTAGGTGATGCCTTAAGCAAACAAAACCTAGTTTGAGATGGTAGATGGAGTCAAACTGCTCTTCATTCTAGTGTACATTTATAATTCAGATATTTCACTAAATGACACTCACCGTCCCCCCACAAGAAACCCAAATGTTTGAGTTTGGCAAGAGCAAGCCAGATCTCTCATGGATCAGGAAACTTGAAAATATTCATATTCTTTGAAATGCATATGATAAATTCCCACTTCTGGAGATTTTCTAAAGAAATCCTCAGAGATTCAGAGAAAGATTTAAGGGCAAGACTTGTTGCCACAGCATTGGTTTTGTGATGAAATTTTGGGAACAGGCTACATGTCCAACAATAGACAATTTATTTTTTATGATGAATTCTTAGTAAGAAATGTTGCAGAGCCATTAAAGTCACACTTTTATTTTTTTTTTATGTTTATTTATTTTTTAGAGAGATTGAGAACATGACTGGGGGAGGTGCAGAGAGAGAGAGGGAGACAGAGGATCCAAAGAAGGCTCTGTGTTGACAACAGAGAGCCCAATGTGGGGCTCAAACTCACAAACCGTGAGATCATGACCTGAGCTGAAGTTGGATGCCAGAAGGCCCTAAAGTCATGCTTTTAAAGAGCATTTGGTGTCAAAAGAATATGCTCACAAGAACATTTAGATCCCAGATATGAATATATATAAAGTAATTCAAAACGTTTGTTGTGATTTTCAGATGGCTTGAGTTGGTAGGATTGCAAATGATTTTCATTTTCTTCTTAATATCTTTTCCAAACGTTTTATGATGAACATGGTTGACTTTTATCATTAGGGGAAAAAATGTTCACATTCATTCAATAAATAGGGTATCAAGCATCTGCTCTGCCATGTGAGCAAAACAAAGCAAGAATGGTTTATGCCTCATGACACTTGTGAGAGAGATGACATTCAACAATTCAGCCAACAAAGAGACACATAACTGCAAATTCCAGTTATGGCTAAGAGGAAACCTACAGGGGGGTACTAGGAGACAGCATAATGTCAGGGCAGTCTGATTTCAATGAGGTGTCAGGGAAGGCTTCTTGGAGAAGATATATGAGCTGAGACCTGCAGGATGAGTAAGTTAAGCAAAATGTGGAGGAAAGGGATCTAGGCCATGGGACCAGAATGGACAAAGGTCCTGAGATGGGAACAAGCTAGGTACACCCAAGAAACTGAAAGAAAGCCAGTGTAGCTAAAGGGAGTAGCAAGAAGTGTTAGAGAGGCAGACAGGAGTCAAACCAGACAGAGGCGGACAGGAGCCAAACCAGGGCCAAAAATAAAGGTGTTACAATGTGCAACACTGAATTATTGATGAGTATTAAGCACGAGAGCTATGTGATCTGAATTACGTCATTTTTTTTAAGAAAAAAAGAGACTGAACCAGAGCTTCAAAGCTACAGATCCACAGAGCCTCGGGAGGAAAGCCAGCTAAATCCAGCGACTGTTTTGGCATGAGAAGTCAGAGGATTCATCCTGAGCCTATCCAAACTGACCCCCTGAGGGAGCCCATATCTGCCCAACGCCAGTCTGAAAAGGAGTAGAGAGAGGAGAAAGGAAAGCTGAAGACAGAAGGAACTCTGGCCTCACGTATGGCTGTCACTTTAAACACTCAGAGCCACTTTCTAATCTGATTCCTATAACCATCACATAACCGAAGGCAAGGACATGTTAGCCTATTTGACAAACAGAGAAACTGAGAAGTTGGCCCATTCATTTGTTCATTCATTAATTTGTCCAACATTTACTACCCACTGAGTGGAGACAAAAATGTACAAGGTAAGTAAGACATGCCCCAGCTCTCAAGAATCTCATGGGCTAAGGGAACAAGAAGATAAATGACATGTCCTAAGTCAAGGCTTTGGCTTCAGGCACATCCTGGGCTTGAAGCCCAACCTGTCACTTCTGTGGAAAAGTCACTTAACTTCTGAGCCACAGCTTCTTCATCTCTAAATGGAGACATGGGTGATGGTGGTGATGCTGCTGTTGATGGCGGTAACAGGTCGTCGTAAGGGAAGAAAGTATTTTCTGAGTGCGCACTAGTTAGGGGTTTGGTGGTTATGGTCACAGCCTATGACTCAAGGTTCAGTGTGATTTCCATGACATGACCTTTCTCTCTTTCCCAGGCCAACCTAATGCCCCCCAGTGTAAAACCCAAACTGGCTCAATCCATGGGCAAATGTCACCATAGTGACACCTGCAGCTATATGTGGAGTCAAATTATTGCACTTCCAGAATAGGATGCCTACTAGCAGCAATGTATAGCCAGTGATGGCAAAGTCGTGACAGGTGCTCAGAGGGAGAGCAGCAAAGACAAGGTGCCTGTCAGCTACTTGCCCCCCTGGGGATAGTGAAAAGCTCCTCTCAGCATAGATACACTCAACTCTGGCCTACAAAGTGGAGACCACAGGCCTGACATTGGACAGTGCCACCTGTGCAGCAACTGGGTAAAACAAAGAACAGAGTCGACACACAGACATTAGCAAATGTGTCCTGGAGGTAAATACTTAGTCTTTTGAAACCTCTTATGCATTTGTGACAAGGTATATTCACAA